AAAGGGTCTACGGCCCGTGAGGCCGAGGTACAATGGTCGCTAGCTGATGCTTGACAGCGCGCAAAGCACGGAATGGGATTGATTCGATGGGCTACTCTCCTTCCCTCCGACTCCGACGAACGGTTCTGAATATCTCAACTTCTCAAGATGCGACCGAGGATACGACAGTCATTCGCACCAAAGGCAGATCAGCAGTCCCCGGCCCTGGGCTGGAAGAGTTTACGATGCTAGATTCGGTTATCATAGTGCTTGGTTGGCGCCAGTCCTCTTGTCACGGGCTCATTCCAAGACAAGCCTTGAACAGACCACACAAGCTCCACCGCACTTAGAACACCGACCGTACTCGTCCTACTGGGACCCACCCAATTTGTGGCCTTAACTCGGGTGCCTGTCGATTACGGCCAAGTTATGTCTCTCCTTCACTCCGAATTGTCAACTCAGGACCAGATATGATGTGATAAGAGCCATGCATAGTATGATTCTTCGACATTCGAACGGCTTGCAGGGGCTTTAGTGGGCCATGAAGGAGTTCCACCATGGTCCTGATCGCTCGAATCAGTACCGAGGATCCCCCACGGGATACACTACCAGGGAATGAACCTGGGCGCCCTGGCACCAACAACGATGGACCTGCATCGGATATACTTTGTTGGCTGAAAACTTAGTCAAGGATAGGATGGCACTAGCTCTATAGCCTTGCAACTGCCATCGAGAACATCCGCTGGTAGCCGCTTTGGCAGGTGCTCAATGTTGCATTGCAGCGAAGCCTGTTTCTAGTCGGAGGAATTATTGCTGTGAAGGCACCAAACCAACCTTCCTTACGAGCTGATCAGGCCGTTGTATGGCTTCCATGCCCATCAGGTTAACCTGAATGATCCATTGACCCCGCGATCTACGGCAGTGGCCTTGGCTTTTGCTGGCATCCACCATCACCAAAGTTCTTGAGCGACAGTCAAGCATGTAATAGCGATTCTGAATCTTAGAAATGGCCAACAAAGGGGTAAGATGATCCAAGGCCTGCACTAGCGAGATGAGGCAAAGAATGCATGAACGGCCGTGGTTATCCAAGGTGTTCATCCCCGACAGATCATGGATAACTTACTCACCTTCTTATCCTGGAACTCCTTCCGATACCGATTTAGGGTACATGATAAGGACTGCCGCCGAACAAATCATTGCACTTAATAGGGCCTGTCTTAATTTCCCACTGGCGCCAACAAGCCCAAACCAACCCCCTCCCTCCCTCCCCCCTTTCAAAGAGGCGGAATTTACTTTGAATCCGGTTTGCGTCGGAAGTGCACGGTAAAAGAGCACGAAGTATCATAGCGCTTGCCAATCAACCCCTCTTCCTCGGACTGGTGAATAATATTCCTTACGATCCATCAGTTTGCTTTTTCTGTTTTCTAGAAAACCTCCAGGGTCATGGATTGGCCGGTCGCACCTACTTCCGCCACTTAGCGTTTACCCCAGGTCAAGACCGGACTGGAGCGGGACCCATAACCAATCTAACAATTTATCTGTCGTCAATTCTCAGCAAGCGAGAACAATCGCATTCCCAGTCTTGGTACGCCGACTCTTAAAAAGGCCGATCTTTCTCCTCCCCTCTCTCCACCAGCCCTGCTACTATTGATGGCCCGCGCGTAATTCCCTCGTCCCTCCCTCAATTGTCTTTCCAACGCAACCAATTTACCTATTCATCAATTGACCCAATTGACCAACTACGGCGCACTATCCGAGGCCATGACTAGAACCACCGACGAGATCAAGTATGAGGCTTCCTCATGGGAGCACAAAGGCGTCACCGTGGCAGACGATGGCCGGAGATTAGCGTCAAATCCCGATGCTTCCCGTTCCAAAGGACGCATACGACGATCGATGACGGCTTGCCATACTTGTCGCAAGCTTAAAACCAGATGCGATTTAGATCCACGCGGCCATGCATGCCGCCGCTGTCTATCCTTAAGGTCAGAGGCAGATCACCACCTGTTGGACCATTCCAGTGTCTCTCAATTCCTGTAATTAGTCTGGTTTGAAGAGCTTCCGACGTCTGACAGTTGTCAATTCCTACAGGATCGACTGCAAATTACCGGAGACGACCGATCGTTTTCAAGATAATGCCTCAATGTGGTCCGATGCGACGTCCGCGATTCCTTCGATTGAGGAGCGCTTGACCTCGCTCGAAAGAAGCATGAGAGAGATGACAAGTATGATGCGCCAAATGCTGGATCAATCGCCAGCAACCCCCACTGGCATTCCCCCATGTTGGACCAGAGCTACCAATGCCGATGATGGCACGTCATCGGATGGCAGCCCGTCCTCTCCTTTTTTGCCCAAGCCTGTCCGGCTCATCCAAGACCTACAATCGGAGTTCTTTGGCGAAACTGAAAACTCGTCGTACTTGAGCGAGGGCATCGCAAAGGGTGGCTTAGACTCTAAACTATCACTCAAATTGTTGCAAATGTATGAGCCATCTGCCCTTCAACCTCGGTTCCTTGACAATTGCTGATGCTCGAAGTAAAGATTCGTGGACAATTTCGGCCCTTATGTCTCCATATATAATCTCTCGGATATACAGAACGAGGCGCGGAATCCTGATTCCTTGCTATATAATACTGCTTGTCTTCTGGCATCCCGCTATGTTCCCGGCATTCCCACATCTGTGGTACATACGATATACCTTCAAGTGCGACATGCGGTGGTAAATCTTCTGTGGGATAAGCCGCCACTTCGCTATGAGTCTCTCCAAGCTCTTGCGCTGCTTTGCCTTTGGCCTGCGACTGTACAAAAGGAGCCCCCAATGGACAGCTGGCTGTTGAGTGGGGTTTCGATCAACCATGCCATCATCTCCTTTGATTGTCTCAACTATGGGCCTACGGAGACCATGATCGATAACGAGACCGCAGCACAGCTGCGGCTTTGGAATACTTACTGCTTGACGCAGCTTCAGTGCGGTCCATCCGTCCTATTAGATGGTTCTTCCCGCTAATTATGCTTAGTTTTGCGGTCGGCAACGCTCGTCCTTTTCACATTCAGCCACGCTATCTTGATCATTGTCCACGGATTTTGGAGCACCCAGGTGCAACTCTGGACGACGCCAAGGTAGTGGCAGAGATACAGCTATACCTCATTACACTACGCCTTCAAAGCAATGGCGGCCGAATGCGAGTCGCCGATACCAAGTTCGAGGAGATCGAGCGGTGGAGGGCCGAGTGGGCCCATCTCTTCGGTAGGTCCTGCATACTCTCGAAAAACTGGTCAACTATGAAGGGACTAACGAGATAGCGAACGCAGCTGGCGAACAGTTCACCCTCGAGCTAAGCCTCTGGTTTTGTCAGATCCTTCTTTACCGCACCTCCATGCGGTTCAGCCCAGGCTCCGATACTCTCGCCTCCGAGGTCCTGCAAACCTCCCGCCTGATGTTGTCCAAGTTTCTTCAGATCCGATATTCTTCCGCGCTCAGCCTCGTCGACCAGGCGTATTTCATGGTCGGCTATGCCGCCCTCAATCTCTGTGATTTCAACCTCATGGACCCGCTCATCGAGCAGGTACAGATGTTCCTACTCCATCTGTCCCCCAACGAGGATCACATTGCCTATCGCTTCTCCTGCATGATTGTCGAGTTCAAGCGGCGATGCGCCGAGGGTAGTGATGCGGCCACCACAGCCGCGGCGGCCGCGGTAGCAGCGGCGACTGCCGCCAAAGCTTCCTCTCCGCTGTCATCCTTCGGGGAAACGCGGAAGATGAGCATGGAGCAGACAACCTCATTCCTACCCCAAATGGTAGATAATATGATCGATGGCTACGGATTCGAGCAATTAATGCCGGAAGTCCTCCCACAATCATTTCCCGACGGGATGCTCAATGAGATGGCTGTCGCCTCCGGGATCCCAGGGTATCGGTCGGCAACGCTATGAGCCCATCAGCCAGCCAGCCCAGCCCAGCCAGTAGTCTAGTCCGCAAAGAGGGGGATTTGGGGGGGGGAGGAGGGCGATAGGACTTACGGACTAGACTTTAGCCCCCAACCTAGCAGTCTCCTCCCCCCGAACTGATAATGGCACTTATGATGACGTACGATGAACAGAAGCCATCCTTTATTTTAGGTAAAAAGAGAAAAAAGAAAACCCGGGCTTGCATCAACTGCACGGAAAAAAATGAATTTCTCCGAGAAATTTAATATGTACAGTACACTATATATACCATATCCATAGAAATCATTTTCTTACTTTACTCGAGAATTTGTTTATAGTACTGTACCCAAGCCAGACTCAAGGGGGGTTGGAGTTGTTCCATTGGCACCTCGGAGATACTAACTGCAAGTTGCATTGTCACATGCAACCGACATGCACCCACTTCCGCGGGGAAGAGAGGAAGGCAGGCAACCTTGAACCTTGGAAAGATAAACCAACCCCATTAGTCTCTCTCGGTCTCCGGAACTCAGATAAGGAAAACCCAGGAACATGACGCCATGTCGGGTTCTTATCCTACCCCCCTGAATTATGAACCGGCTAGGCTATCTTGTACTGTACCTGATTGTGTTGGTTTTGTCTGTGGCCTTGGAAGGAGAGGAGGGGGTGGGCCTGCACTTCCTCTTTCCTTGTACTGTACAGTGCAGTTCCCTGCCAAATATAGTAACTACTGTACAGTGAGTCCAGTACATACCTACTAAACTACACCGGATGTAACTTACGGAGTCCTTGGCTTGCGGTCCGTTCCGTGATATCCGTTGCTGTCAGTGCACACCACCCCCCTACGCTCTGGGACCTTAGGTACATACATAGGGTAACATACGGCTCTTATCGAAGTGAGTATGGACTGATGACAGCAGGACAAGCAGGATTCTAAGGTCCGTGGCTTCATTGATTAGCGTTGCTTTTCGTTCTGTCCGATTTTGAGCAGGTGGGGAGAAAACAGTTTCTTGCTTCAGGCTCCCCCTGGGGATTTATTTCTATCAGGTCTGCTAGACAGAAATCTTGGCTAGTTCCCTTCGCGAACGACTTTGCCCTCCGTTTTTTTGTGATTCTCCAGAGACTGGGAGCCTGGACACATTGACCCGGAACAGATTGCTCCCCTTTCAACTCCTCATCCTCCTGGTAGAAAAAATACAAGGAAATTCTATAGATGCGAAGAGACAACTCCCCAAGAACTAGTTACATATTGAGCTCCCGCTCAATTTTCCGGTTGGGAACAGAACTCTCGGTAACCCGCTTGTCATCGGCACGGGGACCGAACCATCCGCATTGACGGTCAGGGTGGTGCAGGTGAACATCTCCGTGACCTGGGTACCGGCTTGGAACCCCGTCCCCGTCAATGAGAGGGTGTACGTCTTGCCGCCGCTGCCCAAGTTAGAGAGCACAGTGATGATTTGCGTGCCATCAAATCCTTTTCGCATGGCCAGCGTGGTGGTGTCGCTGTAGATCGGGTAGTTCTGCAAGAACATTGGGAAACACAATTAATAACGGAAAGGAGCTCGCTTGATTGCCAAAGTTTGAGCGCTGAGACGCACCTTATAAGTCAAGTACTTCGCATCTTGGCTGATCGCATGGCTGCGGACCTTGTTGGCCGTCGCAATCGAGGTGTAGAGGGGGCTGGTGGTGGAGTAGCCTGACAGCCAGGTCGCTTCGCGGTTGAGAGGGTCGTTGCCCCCGCTGTAATGCTGTTCCTGGCCGGCGTAGATGATGGGGATCCCGTCTGCGAGGATAGTGAATGTAGCCACATTTTTGGCCAGGGACGTGTCATTTGTGTAGCTTTTCGAGAGGTGATGGGGTCAGCTAGGTTCCAGGGGTGGACGGGGCGACATGGGGGGCTTGCTGAGGCAAAAGTGATTGACTTGACTTACGAGGCGAAGCGTGGGTTATCGTGGTTTTCAATGAATGTTCCTAGCAGTGTGGAGTCTGGACAGCTGTCTTTGACGGTATTGATCATGTTGTATAGGTCGCTGATGCTACCCCCTGTTGACTTGAATGCTCTAAGTAGAGGATAATACCTTTGGTGAGTTAGCATCTTCAACTTTTTACTTCGAAAGTATGATGATCAAGGCGCATACATGGGATAATTCAGGACTCCGTCGAGATAATTCTGATATGGACAGGTGTATGAGGCATCGCCGTCGAGAACCTCCCCAATGCAATATACGCCGGCGGCTTTGTTGTAGCCCGGCCAGAAGTCTTTCTGGACGTGTCTGACTGTGTCGATGCGAAGACCATCGACTGGATTTATCAGTTATCCATGTTTCATGCCGCAACGGATATGATATTAACATACTGGAGTAGTTGGAGACAAGCGACTTGACCCAGTCATACCATATCGTCTGTACGTCACTGCGGCTTGTGTCTAGATCAGGGAGCGAGACTTTGTTATCGCCCAGCCAGCAGTTCTGGACATTGGTTTGGTTGTCATAATTGGTGATAGCACAGTAGGGATGGAAGTATTCTTTCTTGTTGAAGGGCTTGAATACACTGTAGTCAACGGAGTCACCTGCTCCATCGTAGCCCTGAGTAAATGCCGTCAGCATTCTCGAGTCTGATAGCATGGCCCCACTAGCATGAGGGTTCAGGGTCAACAAACCATGTGGTTGGCAACGACATCAACCATGAGGTACATGCCACGCGCGTGAAGAGCCGAGGCCAGAGCCTTGAGATCATCTGCAGTTCCATAATGAGAATTGAGGGAGTATCTTTCACAATGGGTGAGCGCCTTTTCACACTAACACGGGCGAGAAGCTCACACGTCTTGTTGCCAGTATCCGTGGTATGCCTGGCCGTAAGGGGTGTTCTGAGGAAGCTGCGCTGTTACTGGAGTAATCCATATGGCTGAGAATCCCATGCCCTGGATATAGTCGAGCTAATTGATGCCATCAGTAAAGTAAACGCCATGTCGAGCTCACCAGAGCAGAGGTAAGGGTGTGAGTAGATTTACCTGGTTGATGATGCCGCGCCATGTTCCACCGCAGTATCTCTATGTACACAAGTCAGCCTCCCATCCCCAGCTAATACTGGGCACCTGTCAAACATACCCCGATGCTTGTATCACAAGTAGCAGTGGTGGAATTGTCCGTACGAGCAAATCGATCGGTAAGCAAGAAGTAGATGGATCGGGAGCGCCAATCGGCCGGAGTTGCAGCGAATGCGGTCGCCGCGACCGTGAGCAGTAATAGAAGAATGTTCATGATGGTATTGTGTATCATCGCTGCTGTCATGGTATTCTATTGACTGAGCTGAATTGGCATGCTTTTATATACTTCACCGAAACGTGCACTGCCGAGTCAAGTCAACCTGAGTCTGTTTCACGACGGCCCATCCCGACACTGTGATTTGTGCCAGTCAAGAAAGTGGATACGCAGTAGTAGCTGACCTTTCAAGTTTGAACCCTTCATTTCCTCCTGCAGGATTCTTATGAGGGTAGATTAAAGTAGCGCCCAAGGACCTCTGAATGTTGGGGTCCGAATTCCGTGGTCTTGTCGGGGATGGATGGTTTGGTCAGGGGGACGAGGAAATCCTCTTCCTCCCTGCGTAGCGGCAGGTGACTTTGTCCTTGTGCTTCCTTCCTTTTCTACCCATCGCCCAGACTCGCATTGGACCCGCCAAGTGTTGGTATATTCTTCTTTTGTTCTTCTTAGGGTCTCTAAGACTTGAATTGTCGATGATCGGCGATGTTATGGTAGGCTATTTTGTCCGGACTCCAGAGTCTCGGCGAAGAATGCTGGCGGATCGTCCGCCCGACCGCAGATCGCCTCACACAAATATAGTTAGTTTATTCAACAGAACGCTGCTATAGTTACTCTCATCATGTACACATAAAGAGTCATCATTCACCGCCATTACCACTCCAGAACCCAGTTCTCAGCCCATGCACCGCTTCTCGTTACATCCTGCAGACCGCCAACATGCAAGATATGCGCCGTCGAGTTATATTGAACCTTCGACACCTGTTTCCCGTTCAGCTTTACCGACGAGGGTCTCTGTTTGACTCCCAGCACTGTCACATTCGCAAGTGGGTTCCTTTCCGTCCAATCTCCTTGCGCCGAAACGTGCAGGCTCGAGCGCGATGCCGAAAAACCAATGTTCAGCGTCGCGTTGGGAACAACGCTCACCCCATCATCAAGGTAGAGTTGTCCCGATGCAACACCGTCACTATCAAGCGCGGCTAGCAAGGACCAAGGAGACTTCCGAGCCTCACGAGTAGTCAATGCTGGCTCTTGGAGAGGAAGAATACTGCCACCGCGTACGTAGACTGGGATGTGGCCCAGTGGGGCCGAGATTGTCGTGTTCACGCCCGCCTCTGCATCGACCACCGTCTGTGTGTACCAGTCATACCACACTTCTCCATGGGCCACTCCGGGAAAGACACCATTCACTGTATCGGCTTGCGGCTCGAACACGGGTATGGCCATGATGGAAGGGCCAACCAGGAATTGAGTATCGACGCCAGCCAAAGTAGGATCATTGGGAAACTCCCAGGCGAGCGCACGCATGACTGTAGACCCAGTGCTGTGGGCGAGATGGAATAGGGTATAATAATAAGGCAATAAAGCATAACGAACTTGCATGGCAGTTTTGGACGCCTCAATAACCGAGGCCCACCGATATGGTTCTTGCGGGATGGCAGAGAGTACATTGTGATTTCGGTAGAACGGGAAGAAGGCCGATAACTGCATCCAGCGGTTGCAAAGCTCTTCGTCCGTATTTCCGTTGAATCCGCAAGTATCGACTCCAAACATCGGGATGCCAAAGAGGGAGAAGGAAAGCGCCTGTGCGATTGAGAAATACATGGAGCCCCACTTCGAGATATTGTCTCCGCCCCAGTGTCCAGCCCACTTGCCTGAACCAGCAAAAGTCGAGCGCCCAATAATAAAGGGACGCCGCTTGCCGGACCAGACCTTGAGCAGACCTTGGTAGGTAGCATTCAGGCCTTGGTGACCGAACAGACTGTGAACATCGTATTCCTGGACCCCATCAGAGTGGGTAGAATTCGGAGAGATGGCATGAACACTCAAGTCGTGGCCAGTCTGCACATGATTGATTACGTATGGCGGGTAATTCACATCACGCACACCAGGTGTAGGTGTCGTACGCAGGTAGGATGTAGAAGTGGACGATGAGGACCCGGCTGAGGCTGCCTGACTGGCCGCCCCGGCTGACGCAGCGGCTGCTTCAGTGGCATTGGTGATGTTGAAATACTCCGGGTAGTCATAGACGATGTTTCCAGGCTCACCAGGAAGCAGGAACGGCGGATGCACCGGGTTCAGAGTGAGGTTACCGGTCCCGCAGCTGCCCACGCAGAATGAAGAGACCTCAGCCATATCGTACCACACCCCATCGTAAGCCACATTCTTGGCCCACAGAACAAGCTCATTGGCCCAGAAGTCGGTCGCTTTCGGATGATGCCAGTCGGGATACACAGTGTACCCAGGCCAAACAGCGCCGATGTATTGACTGCCATCGGGATTTTTGATGAAAACATCATCTGCAGCGCCACGAGTATATGTGTCGTAACTAAGTTTCCGGTTAGCAAGAATGAACTAGTTGAGAGCTGGATCAAGCGACTTACGCATCAGATGCATTTTCAGGATTGGGAATGTACAGCGCCGCATCGACAATCGGCACGTAGTAACGCCCACTGTCATGAAGTTGACTGAGAAACTTTGCACCCTCGCTGTAAGAAAAGCGATGTTGATCATTGTCGAAGTCGCGATATCCATGCATGTAATCGATGTCGGTCCTAGAAACACACATCAGCATTTCTGCCCGTCAAACAAAGGGCAGTACACGACAAACCAAATATACTCCAGGGGAATTTCGAACTTCTCGAAGTTAGCAACAACTTCTGCAAGTTCAGACCAGTTATTGTAGCCCCAGCGACATTGGTGGAAGCCGAGGGTGCTATACTGCTGCATGGCTGGCAAGCCCACGGTGCTAAGTTGATACTGCTTGGTCACATCGGCCTGGGTAGGGCCCGAATAAAAGGTCAGGTCAATGCCTCCACCAAGAGTTCGCCAGATCAGCCTCTGAGATCTTAAAAGCACTTCTTGCCCGTGGGCGTTTCTCAAAAACACGCCATGCGAATAAGAAGTGTATTGTTCAGAGGCATTTAATGCACTTCTCTTCGCATGCTTGTGAGAGCCGTCGGCCTTGAAATATCGCGTATCAAGATAGAACGGATGTTGCCCGTATAAGTTGCTATAAGAAGGCAAGTTAGTGGGATTCGGGGTATGTTTTCTGAGCCGGAAGACTTGCCTATCAATCGGATCTCCGATATCCGCCGCATACATGGTGACGTTCGCATCCTTGAGCAGACGGAGCTGGTTGAAATGTTCTCCGAGGCCGTACAAGTTGTATTCTTCTGGCAAAGATGTCGAGAACTCAATGAATTGATTCTCATAGACCAAGACAGTACCTTCAGTATCGAACAAGACATCCCCAGTAGCCTCACGAACGACCTTGAAGTTGAATGACGGCTCGTTGGACCAGGAGAATGTGAGATCACTGCTGGAGTTTGTGGCACCCTCACCTGACTTGGGCCTAGGCACGAACTCCTCTGACAAGATAAACCACGAGGAGTTAGAGGCGTCGACATACGTGGGAAGAATCTGTATGTTCAGTCGATCTGATGCCTGATAGTCCACCGTCAAAGTCAAGGTATCAAGATCTGTCCCATAGACATTGCATGCCTTCCCGGCCAGCTCCAAGCGTGCCGTGAAGCCATGGGAGCCCTGTTGCACGTTTGAGGCCTTGTAACCCGGACATACAGACTGTGCATCGACTGCCTGAGGATCATCGATGTTGGCAATCAATTGGGCCCCCACATCTGCTTCAGCCGGGATAGTGAATTGCGCGTACGAGGCGGATGCGGATGTGCTGTACAAGGTCGACTGGCTCAGCCCAGAGGCCACAGGCATGAGCCAAGCACCAACCAGCGTTACCATGAGATTAACCATGGCGAGCAGCAGTTAGAGAGACCAGCACCGTCGTCGTGTTATGGATGGCTAGCATGAAAACAGCTAGAAACCCTCGGGTTTGTTCCTCCACGAAGCCGGGCTCATAAGTATTTAAGATCCTGTAGTGAGAACACAATGCAATCAGTCATTGGAATTCTAGACGGACGTGCTGTGCAACAATGCGTTGTCCCCCGCAGACAAGCCATTATTGCTCCGTCGAATTCCCGTGGTGCAAGGGCGGATCGGGCCCGCATTCAGAGTCGACTGGGAGGCTTTCCGGCAGGCTAGATAGATTACTTGGAGTTTGATGCGGGGAAGACAAGCCAAGAGTAGAATTAGGTTTAGATGATCGAAGAATGATGCCAGGAGCGGAAAAGGAGAAAGGAGTGAAGTTCGTCGATTGGTGTTCAGAAACCGGTACTTGGCAACTATCCCTCGGTTACAAACCGGGAGGTCCTTGTTTGGATGCCTGAGACTTCGGGCCTGACGACTATCACCTGATGCTCGCGCTCGGATTGGCCCATGCCCCGATAATTGCCCGACGGCGTGGAGACTCGCAGCAAGCGAAGTACCTAAAACAAGCCATCGATCGTTTTCTTTTCACTGCATTCCTTCACCTTCACGAATCCTTAAGTCTCACTAGAGACCTAAACTGCACTCGCGCGAGACCCCACCAGGCATCACTAATCCCGACTGAGGTCCGGTCCGTCCGGCCAATATCTTCAGCACGGCTCCCACTTCCCAAACAGCAACCGGTGAAGAGGCCGATCTTCACACCAATACTTCGCCTCATACACAATGGAAAGAATGGGTCCAGCCTCGGCACTTCCCATGCAGGATTCTGGGGACAAGTGAGGTTCCGGTATGGAAGAGCAGAACCTTCAAGCGGCCTACAGAGGGCACACGCCATACGCACTCTCAGCGTCAGGCTCGGCTTCCCGAAGCGAGGTGCACCTTCACAGATGGCAGCCAATACCTGTGCGGAAGCACCCGGACTGTGGAGAAACCCACCAGCAATAGGACTGGATCCCAATCACATGAAAAGATCCTACAGTATACCAGCGTTCCTATTATATGCAGGGGCTGGAGGGTCAGAATTAGAAATGACGCACCCAGAGTCTTGGTCTGCCTTCAACCGCCGTAATGCGCACATTTGCTCGAACCTTCTCTGGCCGATTATCCAAATAGGTGGATCGCCTGGTCATACCCTTCATCAGCAGACAATACACTGTCCTTCGTTCTGTGAAGTGATCTGCTCTGGGTGTCTACACTCCAAATCACTCTGTAGTAGGCGGTAGAGAAATCCTTAATCGATCTTGCACGGTGAAAGGGCCCCCTCTCGGTACCTTCGAGGCCTGGGGGGCGAATCTGGGAACCAAACAACTAGCTCGTCAGAGCCGTTAATTGAGCAGAGGCCCTAGGAAACGAAACGAAATTAAATCGACTAACTAGCATGAATCCAACAGGGTCTGGTACCGCGGGGTCCGGGCCACCTGGAGGACGTGCCTTGTGCCTCGCACCATGTTTCCCTTCCCCCGCTTGTTGCGCCCCCGGATTTTCCGTTCTTCGCTGCTCTCCCCCCTCCAGAAATCTCATGATCCTTATGTATCTCTGGATCCGCGTGGCCTTCAAGATCAGAATAGTATTTCTCCTGGATATCACTCAACCAACCTGCAATGATGCCCATGGACTGCCATCATTACTGCTGATCTTCCACCGCGATCCGATTATAGTCCCCGCAAACCAATGGACTCGCAGCCTTCCCCCACTAAGCCTAAATCCTCTAAGCAAGCCTGCGATAACTGTCGTCGTCGAAAGATCAAATGCTCTAGGGAGCTCCCTTGCGACAAGTGCCAGCGTCTCCTGCTCTCCTGCTCCTACAGTGACGTTTTACGGCGCAAGGGTCCCAAATTTCGCACCATCTATCCACTTGCGCCCATTCACCCATTGGTATCCCGCCAACAACAAGACGCTTTTCACCAGCACCCGCGGCAGTACCCTCCAGAGAAGCAATGGACAGCTGATCCTGTGGTCTACCCGTTGGCAAGGTCGCCAACGTCGCCACCATTCACATTAACGGACTCTCAATACCTGTCTCATGATGTTTTGGAACCGCTTGCGCAGCTCCCTCCTCCGGAGCTAGTTTCCTCTCCTGACTCGATGAACTCTCTCTCGGATTCTACAATCGGCATCATTCGTCCCTATGCAAGGCGCCTTTCAGCCCCGGTACTCTTAGCTCACGTCAATGTTTATCTCAAATATCTGTTCCCCATCATGCCAGTAGTGCGGAGGCAGGAGCTCCAGCGAGACTGCCATCGACCCGAACTACTTTCCTCGCAGAGGTACGCATTTCTGGCATCTCTATGCGCCGCCACGCATATCCAGCTCAAGTTGGACGGAACGACTTCTGTGCCCGATCCCTCGCATTTTCCGACTGGGGCCGAAGGCCACTCGTGCATGTCGGGAGAGGAGTTGCTGGCCGAGGCAGTACGAGCAAGGAAAGACTGCGATGTAGTGGAAGATCTCAATATGGACAGTCTCCTGACATCGTTCTTCCTCTTTGCTTCCTACGGCAATCTAGACAAACAAGACCATGCTTGGTTCTACCTGTGTCAGGCCACCTCCATGGTCTTCACGCTAGGTCTCAACCGCGAATCAACTTACGCTGAGTTGAGTGTCGAAGAAGCCGAAGAGAGGCGGAGAGTCTTCTGGCTGTTATTTGTGACAGAAAGGTAAGCGAGTATGATGCCGCAGCATGATTAGAATGAAGGTCTGATTATGACCAGGGGCTATGCACTCCAGCAGGCCAAACCGGTCATGTTACGCAACTGCATTCACAAACCACAAGTCCTCTGCTCCGAAGACCCGATCCTCGCCTACGGATTCATCAATCTCATCAGCATCTTCGAGAAACTGACCGTCAATCTCTTCGACTGGATATCCGCCGGCGGCGTCGACAGCTCGTCCGAGATCCCACCCACCTCCGCCATCCAGTCCAGTCTCTGCAAAACGATATCCCTGGAAGGGGTGTCAGAGATTCAGAAGGTTGATATCCTCATCACCCAACAGTGGCTGCAAGCCATGATGTGGAAGCTCTCTATGACCAGCCCCACCCAGCCCGGATCTCGCGATGATGCAGTCCTCCCATTTCACCTGCCAGTCATGGTCGGAAGGGCCGTGATGAACGTCATCAGCGCAGCATCTCAAGATGCCGTCGATGCCCACGGCATCGGCATGGTCAGTCAAAAGCCCCGAGACAGAATCATTTTCCCCCACAATTTTCATCTCCAGCAACCCCCTCCCCCTTTCCCCTTTCATACCTTCCAACCCACTCACGCCATGTTTTTCAGGAACAAAAACTCTTCGACCTAGGCACCGCCGTCGCCGACGTCACACGCTCCCTAGGCTCCGGCTCGAAACCCTCCACCCACCGTCTCACCGACTCTGCCATCGACCCCCGCGAACTCCTCTGGGGGATCCTCACCACCCTCTCCCGCATCCGTGGCTCCCAGTCTCACCTCTTCCCCACGTTACTGGAGCGCTGCAAAGGCGCCCTCGACTTCACCTCCCCACTCTCCATGGGCGAGTTTCTCGCCCTACCTGCACCACCCCCACCACCGCCGCCACCATCCATCAGCAACAACAACAACAACAACAACAATCCCTCCGAACCGTGGAACGCGGAGACCAGCGGACTAGAGATCGTTGCCTCGTTGTCGGAAACCCTCAACCTCCAAGATCATCACCAGGATCCCGATGACGTCGATACGCTGTCGCAGATTCTGTCCATGGCTTCACAGATAGAATATCAGGCAGGGAATGGAGGGGCCGGCGGTGGTGATCGTGGTCATAAGTGAAACTTCAGAAATGTGTGGACTTTCCCTCGGAATGACTGGATTGTGTGGCATATGGTGATTCCAACCCGGGTTTGTGCTTGGACTTACACTGTGATACCACTCTTCTCGGAGTATACATATATATATACAAAGGCCTCGAGTAATGAACATAATGATATATGGTTTTGTAGGAGATATTGATCGGCGAAATAGCTTGCAATGTCAATAGACTTCAATCTCGCCGTCATGAACCGACTCATTGCTCAAGGCCATGCGAAATGGTTAAGATGACAGACCTAACTTTTCTATAATCGATGAAATGATACATAATCAATAATCCCCATTCTGAAGAAACCAGACAGAACTACGTAGGCATCTGATATAATAGGAACAATTTTTGAGGGCCTCTAAAGAGAAGGAAAGCAAAGAATGAGAATCAGTGTAACCAAAACCCGTCTGTGGTAGAGAAAGTATGATCGTGTTGCTATACATAAAACATGACGGCTAAGCGTCAATAAACAAGAACCTATACAAATAATGGGTATGTGCCAAATCCAGCTCGAGCCTTGGATAGCACGTCATCACATGGGACAAAGGCAAGGGGAAATAAAAACTTTCATGATCTATGCGCCGTTAAAATTATAAGTGTCCCGCACTGAAGTGCGGATGGATCCACGTATTGTTTCGGTGAAGCACGGGACGTGGTCCATCGTCCGAGTCAAGCAGCAGGCCGGTGCTGGGTATATGACGACAACTTGAATGTGCTGAAAAAGAGTGATCAATGGGGTGAAGTAAAGCATTCCGCATCTACTCTTTTCGCCAGATTAACTCCAGAACCTTATCACCGAGCTCAGGGTCCCGACGAATGTACCATTGGCGGACCTGGTTGCCATCGATAATCGCATCTTCGTGGATATAGCTAATCTTGCCTTCATCCTTTGGTCGGAGCGGGCCAAGTTCATGCAAGAAGGACTCGAAGACTGCGCCATTGTCGCCGGCCCATGTGAGCTCCATCGACTTGTCACCCGGCGGAACGTCATTGCTGTACTTGACGATAGAGAAGCCGTTAGTGAGGATCCAGCCGTCGCCGAAGTGCCATTTTCGCAGAAGACACGAGTCGCCACAGATCTCACTGACAACACCCAGCTTGGCCATGTCGGCATTGAACCATGACTTCCAGTGGTGAACGGAGAGCGGCGGGGGTCGAGCAGCCTCAAAGAAGCCAGATACATCACCCCTCATGTCGATCTGTCGCAGGCGGTGATCAATGGTCAAATGGGCATCCGAATACTGGTAGATGCAGAGGGATATCTTGCGATCTCCCGTGGATTCCATCTTTTGACAATCCTCGTAAACCTCTTTGCGGCCTATCTGCTCAATCAGGGGCCTAGACATGAAGACGCCAGCGCCTCCAAAACCCATCAAACCGAAGATTCCGACTTGGGGCATCGCTTCCGATAGCCCACCGACATAGGTCTGCGCTGTATCGTCGTATTTCGATAGAGCCTGTACCAGCGCCGTCATCGAAGGGAAGAAAGTATCGTCATCGATGACACAGGTCCATCTCGTCTGCGGCCGCAGATTCTTGGCCAAATGTGGCACTAACGAGAAGTATCGGTGCTGATATTCTTCCGTCGACTCGGTTACCGAGAGGTTGACACCTAAGCTCTCAGCCTTAGTGAGGACTTCATTAATCCGCGCATCTGGCTCAATGAGTGCCAAAATGCGAGCGTTCGTATGTCCAGCCCAGTGAGTGAATGCGTCTAGCGACTCGTTCAGACGCTCCAGTGTTGTAGCAACGCCGAAGTCGATGTGGGATGCGTCCGCCCTTGGTAATATCGAAGGTACAGAGACAGAAACAGGACGAGGCATCAAGCAATCATCCTGATGCACGCTATCTTCCGCAAACCGATGGTCCTTGTGGATTTTCTCGAAGAGAGGCAGTTCGAGTCGTTGTGCAATGGGAACGACGTCGCTCGAGGAAGGAGAAACGACAATTTCACGGCGGACATATTGAGAGAGCTTGTGGACGTCGAGGCGTTGGAGGGCATCGAAGTCGGGTTCGCATTCGACCTCGGAGGTAACGGTGATATTTGAGATCGTCTGGGTCGTGATTTCATGGTGAGGTTCGATCTCAGGCCAAAGGAAGATCGTAAAACTGGTCACAAGACAAGCTGCGACCACAAAGCGCAGCAATTTTCTCCTCCACATGTACGAGGCGCCCATGGCGGTCCGCGACTTCTCCTCGGTCTTATTCCACATCTGGGTCCGGTAACGTTGATCTTGTGAAAGGGGATGTATTGAATCTAGACGCCGCACTGGAACTGCAAGACCATCGCGATGCTCCAATATAGCGATAGTGGGAGAGAGGGAGGTGGAACGGTGGAGATATTATGGCAGGAGAGGCCTGGTCCAGATGGGAGGGCGGGAGCGGGCGGCAAAGAAGAGAAAGGCGAGGGCGGAAACACAGGAAGGAATATAACAATCGAGTCAGGAAGGAGAAACGAGCAAACGATCCTTGAAATCCGCAACAATGAAGGAATTGACGGGCAGCGTCGGAGACAGGCGAGGACGGCAGAGGGATGACGAAGGTCAAAAAGAAAGCGACGACGACAACGTCAATCCTGGGCCCGGTTAACCGTCAGGTTAGTGGAAGAAGATATGGAGTGGGAAGGTTGATAGCCGATCAACGGGGCTCCAAGATACCATTACAGCAAGAACAAGCACCGCACGGCTCGAAAATGGCCGGATCTGACTTAGGGACGAAACGAATCATGACCGGGCGGAGAATGGCTAACCCAGGGATCGACTATGGGCCAGTCTGGTTTCCCTAAGGCCCTGGACAGTAGCGGATGGAGACCGATCCATCTGCTGTCCAGTGGTCTATCGAATGAGAAATCATCAAGCCATCAGGGCACACCTGCTGGACGGAGCAGCCACACAACATGTCCCACTGTCCACAGGGGCCGATCGGCCTAGAGACCAGTGCTAGGAGATTTCCCTGAAGTGACAGTCTCCCCAGGGTTACGTTCTTGAATTAGGGGTCTTTCTGCGCTTGCCCCGAACGTCCTACTCCATTGCCGCATTGCACAGTGCACATCTGCACAGTGGGATGGGGTGGATGGTCAGCCTACCCTTATGCCTTTCTCTTTTTTTTTCCCTTTTCAATTCTTGGTGGCAGAGTACACATGGATAGGATGGAACCGGGACAGGTGAAGGGGGGAAAGAAACAGCTTTCTCCCACTTACTTTTCCACCCCCAGCCCCCCCACCGATTAATGTGGCCGCACCGCTACAACCCCTGGGTACAACCATGCATTTGACGCGCATTCCGTTTGGGGCGAAGGGCCTAAAACGGACGGCGGGGGCGACGGATTGCTGATGACGAATCGCCGGCGCATACTTTAGCGATTAGATAGCGTTCCGCATGAGGAATTTATTATGGACTCTAGCAGCGTCAGCAGCACCAAGTGATGGTAAACTGTACACTGCTCTAAAGAGTAACACATTGCTACAGTACCTGAGTGTAGGGTAACAATGTGTAGGCCCGGGCCCCCTTGTATGGGTAGAGAGAAGATCGGTAGTAATTGCACCTGTTGCAAGTCGAAGTGGGATCATCGCAAACGGCGCCCTGGGGAAGGGGAGGACAATCCGGACAATGTCTTGTTCCGGCCTCCTCGCCTGACGTCCTTAAGTCAGTCATGTGCTTCATTTCATGACCGCAATCTTTTTTTTTTCCCGCTTGGTGGGCAGGAGATTATTGTTCTTATGGTGTCGGACAACAGCCGTTGGAAACAAAAATAGAAATGCATTTCTTGGATCTGAACCGATTGATTGGCTCTTGTTGTCTGTGCACGCCGCCACGCAGTAATCAGATAGCCTCGCTCTTCGCAGTCTCAACTCAAACGATACGTATGAACCATAGGCTGGGTAAGCATGTCGGTCTGTCTGACATTCAGTGACCCTGAAAAGTAAGGGGCATTTGATCTAGAACCTCATCGAGAGCAGTGAAGGCGGACTGGACTATCTGAAAGCCAGCAGTCACATAGTGTTGCTATTGGGGGGGAATAATAGGATTGATGAAGTGGTGAGGTATGTCTGGCACAGGCTGAAGATTTTCCTCTCCTTCTCTTCATTTGTAAGGAAGCTTTGCTGTCAATGATCCCACAAAGCTGGACTGGCATTTATCGATGTCCTGATGTTAAGTCCTCGCATGATTGTAATGGTCGGAGGAAAGGCCCGCGGAGATGGGCTACGGCCGCCGGAATGAGCCTCTAGTGCAGAATTCCCCAATGGGGAAATATCACACTCCCGCACAGATGGTTCACAAGCTTGGACTGGCCACTTGGAAGATCAAGCATATCCAGCTCAGTATCTTCATATCTCTACACTCCTTCAGAACCGTTTCAGTGGGGTATCTTTGATCTCACCTCCTCTTGAACCACGCCCATCTTGGGCTACTGCGAATCACACCCCGGGTGACTCAATCGTCAATTTGACACGGCATCGCCATGGCTGCCCAGTCATTGAGTTCGTTGCTACAACGAGCCTCCATTGACGACCACGAAGAAGTTCTTCAGTCCTCCAACGCTGCACTGGCTAAATCGAAAGCCGATCAGCATGCCCAGCATATCAAGGTCATTGCTCTTTGTAAACTCGACCGCTACGCCGACTGTCTGCGGGTGTTCGAGGAAGCCGGTGACGGCCTGAAGACCCGGGCCGCTCTGGAATATGCCTATGTCCTCTACAAGTCAGGCCAGCCGGAGGAGGCCATAGAGGTAGTCTCCAAGGTGACTGGCAACCGTGGTGCTCTTCACTTGGAAGCTCAAGCCGTATGTCACTCTTACCTGTCCTTGCATGTGTTGTCATACCCCGCCGTCAACAATCGTTGGTAATCCCTAACTTGCGAAAAACATAGAGCTATCGCGCCGAGAGATTCAGTCGCGCCGCTGAACTATACGAAGAACTCTCGAAAGATGGAGCCTCGATGACCAACGAGGAACACGATTTGCGCATCAATGCCTGGGCTACGGATGCACAGCTGCAGTGGAAGGGCTATCCCGAGTTCGTTCGTCATAACCGACCAACCCGTGATGATTTGGAGGCATTTGAGACCGTGTACAACGCCGCATGCTTGAGCATAGCGAAGGGCGAATTCGAGCAAGGAGAACTGCTTCTGAAGCGAGCCAAGGGTTCGTAATTAAACAGGATGCACAAAGGCGATAACGATTGCTGACCCCTCCTCCTTACACAGAACTGTGCCGCACTTCAGAGGATCTCACCCCGGAGGACAGAGACGCCGAACTACTCCCGATTGCCGTGCAGCAGCTGTACGTCCTGCTTCGCCAAGGCAAGTCTGAGGAGGCTCAGTCCATTTTGGAGGAGATCTCGGTCAAGGAGTGCGCATACCTGTTCCTGGTCAAATTCTTCCAAGCTGAAGCTCACCCGACCGCAGTATCCACGAAGCCTCGACGAAGAAGATCGCACAGACCAACGCCACCCTCGCTCGCGGCGCCTCGGCCAATCCCTATGCTTTCTACAAGGCCTTCAACGAGATCCCAGACGCGACAGAGAGCGACAAGCTGTTCGACTACCAGAGCCACTTGACGATCGGCAACTCGCACGCCGCCGACCTCCTTGTCCGGAAATACGACGGCATCATCCGCTCCACCTCCAAGGCCCTCTCTCGCGCCGCCTACCCCTCCACAGAACCCGGCGCCAACCTCCTCTCGGTGTACAACGCCGCCGCGCACGCCCAAGGTGAATCCGGCACGAAAGCCCTCAAGCCTATCGTAGCCGCGCTCGACAGACGACCCAAGGACGTGGGCCTGGCCCTCACTGCCGTGCAGCTCTACGTGGGCGCGGGCAACACCACCTCCGCGATCACCACTCTCGAGTCAACCCTCCAACTCCTCGACGAGTCCATTTCCGAGCAAGACAAGGAAGTTCGCTTCAGCCCGGGCGTTCTGAGCGTGCTACTCTCTCTCTACAAGCTCGAGGGCCGCAAGGTCCAGATCCGCTCGGAACTGGCCAAAGCCGCCGCCTACTGGCAGCAGCAGCAGGACGGCGCCAGCCAACCGCCCCCGGCTCCCCTCCTCCGTGCCGCCGCCGCCTCCCTGTTGCACTCGACCGGCACCGCCGACCTCACCAAGGCCGGCGACCTGTTCAAGTCTCTCTACCAGTCCAACACCGCCGATGACTTCGCCGTCGCCGGGTACGTCGCCGCGCAGGCCCCCATCGACTACGCCAAGGTCGAATCCCTGGTCGACCAGCTCCCGTCCGTTGCGGACCTGATCGCCGAGGTGGACGTGGCTGGCCTCGAACAAGCGGGGATCGCGCCTTCCTCGGGGGCGAATGCCGCTGCCGCGGCTGCGATCGCGGGCGCGCGCAAGCGGTCCGCCACTGCCAACCAGGAAGACGGCGGTGCGGCGAAGAAGCGGGTCCGGAAGTCGCGGCTGCCCAAGGATTATGATCCGAGTAAAACCCCTGACCCGGAGCGCTGGCTGCCTCTGCGCGATCGCTCGAACTACCGGCCTAAGGGCCGCAAGGGCAAGCAGCGCGCGGCGGATCGGACACAGGGTGGTGTTGTGAACGACAAGGCTGAGGAGTCTACCGTGGCCACCAACCAGCCGAAGCCTCAGAGCGGTGGTGGCGCCAACAAGAAGAAGAAGAAGGGCAAGCGGTAGTGATACGAAACCGTAATTTTTCATGTTTCTTTTTAAACTTCTATTCATGAGAGATGTCTTGCATTGGCTGGCAGAGATAAAGAAGAGAGGTCTTTAGACTCCCTGGAAGCATGTAAATAGAAATTCGGTCATTCTGCTGCTCTGATGCAACTCCTCCTCTCGCCTTCGAAACACATAGCAAATTTAAAGTATGCATATTAGTTCTTACATGTGAGACTTTTCCTGCTAGAACAGCATCCCACCCTGAGCATAACCGCGCGGGTTGCCAATTTCAGTGCTTAGCCCAGAGGAGTCCGAATGGTACCACACTGCCGATCGTACTGCTCGAAGATTTGGTAAAACAGCTTGAGATCCTGAAGCCCATCGCGGGCGGACGTCTTGGCCATCTTATCTTCGGTGAGATAGGCGTGCAGAGCCTTGAGTTCTGCCTCATAGGTCTCCTGCCACCCGCTCACACTCTTGATCCTCTTCATTTCCCCATTCTCATCCGCCGTCTCCACCACGACCTCCACAGGCACGCCACGAGCATACGGCAGACCATATTGGATGCTGACAGTCTTTGTGTCACCATAGATTGCAAGGTGTGCATCACAACGCGGCACTGCATCGGTACCCGTCTCATACATCAGGGTGAATGGGTGCTCGCCCTTCCGCCCGCTGTAATAATGGAACAAGGCCGAATAGTATGGCTCGTTCACAGAGATATTAGAGATGGCGTCCGGAAACCCAAGCAAATCGCGCATCAAGCCCAAGTCATGACATCCCAGAGAGGTAAGAAACTCGCAGAGCGCGATTCGTCCTTTGGTCAGTTCCTCTCCCAAGAACATCTCCTGCAGTAGACCTTGCATGAGCTGCGGACCGCTAGCCTTCTTCCTATTCTCCTCCGATGCAAATCCATATGCTGCCGCACCATTCAAGGCAGTCCAGAGTTTGTTCCGCGGTGCGGTAGCCGTATGTGCCAAGCTAGGGCCCGCGATGTTTCGGCAGCGAGCGTAATAGATGCGATCCAGGGACGCAACCTCCTTCTTGAAGACCTCCTCGATACACGGAGCATAGCGTCGCGCACATGCCACAAACACTTTCGCACCATTGGGGGCGCGCTTTTCCGCCTCGATGATGCGCCTTGCGCTTTGGATGCTCAGGCTCACGGGTGTTTCGACCATAACGTGCTTGCCAGCATCCAGCGCCGCTACTGTGTAGATCTCGTGGTATTCATTGGGCATGAAATTGAGGATCAGCTGAATCGATGGGTCGGAGATGACCTCTTCGGCAGAAGATGCACGAGCGATGTTTTTGATTCCGTTCTCATGGCCATCGGCTTTAGTCGTGCCATTTGTGTGATGGCCGTTAGTATGGCCGCTAGTGTGACCATTGGTGTGACCGTTGGTGTAATGGCCGTTAGTGTAAGCCTTCCTGATGCTGTTTATCGGCTGCTTAGTATCAGTTGGAGCATTGTAGATAACAGCTACTTTGTATGAGTTGGTAAGAGCGGTAAGGATGGGAAGGTAGATTTCTTGGATGGCTTGGGCGCCTTCGTCTGCGGTGAGGATCCCGAGCTGGAGGACCTTCTGCGTCATCGTGCTTTCTGTTTTCCCTGTATCAGGCCGAGATGCGCTGGATGTGCATGTGTTAGGCTTATGTAGAGAGGACCTGCAGACCTTGACTTACGCAGGCAAACTCAATAACTCAATCAGCCGGCACGCAGAGTAGACAGAGCGAGACTCTGGAGATTAGGAGGAGATGGAGATGGAGAAGAGGGAAGGCGCATTTTTTGAGGTGAAGAGAAGGACAAAGTTCTGAACGGGATCGAGCACTGGCTTCAGGTGAGGAATGCTGGATGCAAGGGATAGACTCGGATAGAGGAGTACCTGCCTGTTGCAGTGTTACCCCCTACAAATCCGGACACAAAATCTAAAATTTAGAATCGAGCGTGTTTAGGAAACGACAACAGGGTAGAACTTGGAACTTGATCAGCTTGGCTCAAGTACTACCATATGTTATAATAACTTTTCTCGGTCTCGTGAGAAAAAGAAAGGGTCGTGATGGTGATATCAGAAGCAAGATGCAGGATTTTGAAGCTCTTTCTTTTTTGCACTGGCCTTTTTTGGGTCAGGGTATTCCATGACATCAGTGGCACTTGTTTCTGATTTCTTCTTATTGTGCTTGGTCTTCTCTGCTGAAAAATAGTTCTTGATGTATACTTCGACTTTATTGCTGGATCTATTTGGTAGTGCAGTGAAATTGAGACTAGAGGCATGATCCATCATGCTTGCTATAGATCGATATACTACGGTAGGACTGCAGGTCGATCGGGTGGGGCCGTAGTCACCTATGTTTGAGTGAGAGTACATAATCACAAACATCCCACCCACATGCAGCCTGTCTGCATGACACACAAGTATCAACCAAAAATTGACAGGCAAACTTCCGGGAAATTTCAGTCAGCTGGTACTACCATCCTACGCAAACTTGATTCGATAATGGGATGAGATTGCGATCACTGGCATTTTCGGTATCGGCAGGTCATGTGTCAGCTATTTTGCTTGGAAGCATGTATATTGTGGTCCCGGTACACACACACTAAACATGATGTATTCTGTAGGAGGAGTAGAATATTGTGGATGCAATGCAGCCTTATGCCATGACTAACACAATACCTTCTACAAGCTGAAGATTAACCCTGAGGGCTGAGTTTTGTTGACTTTATGTACTGTACTGTACATACTCGCTACTATGTACTCGTACTCGTACTGAGAAAGTCGGTCGTCATCTCAATTCGACACGAAGCGACTAAGCCCCGCCTAAGGCTTGATGCAGCCTTAGTGTGCATTTAGCGGCTTCTCATTCGAACATTTGGAGCGCGGAACACTCTCTCCTTTTTTTTTCCCTACTCCTCTTCCGCTCCTGCCCCTCTGACGACATCATCAGATTATATCAAACAGCCTGCTGCAAAGTCAACAACCATTTCCCTTTCTTCCTTCCATCACCACCACTTTCATCCCAAGGAACCCAGAACCAGTCTCAGGTATTAACATCGGAGTAACCCATCAATCCACTATGGGGGTAAGTTCGAATTTAAGTTATTTGTCCCACCTTCCATCTCTCAACAATCTTGTTCCTCGCCTTTAATTGTTACCTGCCCCGCGTTGCTGCCCCGCTCCTCCCAAAGCTCGGCCTGCAACCCATCTGCATCAGCTTTCGAACACGTCAACCTGCTTCTGCTTTCGTCGTGGTGTACGGTACATGAACTTGGACTAATCTCTGCATTCTGCACTTGCTTGCTTCCTCTTTAGTTTGCGTCGAAGATCGCCAACGGTATGAACCGCCCAGCCGACGGGAACACCAACAAGCCTGGTGGTGGTGGTGTGTATGGAGGAGCACCACCCACTGGCTACACTGGAGGACCTCCAAGCTCGCTGCAGCCTGGAGGAGCACCCGGTGGATATGTGAGTCCGCCCTACGCAAGTGATTAAGTTAATCCGGTTGCCCCTCACACATCCATGATTCATTCATCATCATTGATCCAATTTGCACATTTTCGGGACTCCTGGAATTTCATCTTTTCCTTCCCCAAAGCTGACGCAGTCATTTCCTAGCAACCACAGCAGATTCCTCAGCAGCAACAGGGTCAGCAGTATCAGGCTTACTCAGGCTCGCCTGCTCCCGCTGGTGGTCCGGTAAGCTGAAAATTTCCTTAGCTGTTCTTTCTTTACTTCTTTCTTGAGTTGCTCTTTTCCCAACCCCCCTCCCTCCCGGAGTTTCCTACCCATCAATCACCATCGAATGAACGAGAGCCGGGAAACAACTCCACCATCTTCCTAAACTACCATCTTGTCCTCTGTGCCCCTCCTATCCTTACTTTTACTCGACTGTGGCCCGCTCTCTACCTTCTTCCAACCTTCATATCCTTCCTGCTCGCCGTTGTCCGGGCACTCGGGCGCAACTCGTCGACCATGTCTCGGCCTTACTATGACCCTTACGGTCACCCCTCTCAGCTCCGTCCTGGATCTACCCAACCTCCTCAGTCTCCTTATCCCACCTCACCGTCGGGACAATACCAGGCATACGGGGCTCCATCACTTCCCCCCAACAAGCCGGCTCACACGCCTTCACCGGGCCCTCAGTCGCCCTATCCTGGAGCACAACCTCCTTATCAAAGAAATCAATCGTCCTACCCTGGTCCTCAGCCCGCTTATTCTGCACCGGCCAATCCATCGCCGTCTCCCGCTCCTCAGCCTTACGGCCAGGCTTACGGTCAGGCTTATTCCCAAGCACCATATGGTGTTCCCGCGCCTCCTGCCCAAGGCTACGCGCAACCGTCACCTTATAGCACGCGGGACCAACCATACGGACAGCAAGGCTATGGCCGGCCCCCGCCTCCCCCACCCCAGGGTCAGCCCTACGGATCAGCCGCCCCCCAGTACTCTCAACCTCCTACAGCTCAAGTACATATTGATTCCCATCTCATCACATGCGTTCTCAGTTTCTTTCATACATGCTGTTATCCTAGCGCACGTTTACCCAGGATCGGAATCCTTACTGACCGAGTCTGATGTTCTAGGGTCAACCTTACCCTCCTCAAAATGCGCCTTACTCCGGCGGGCCCGTTCGTCCTCCCCAGCAGGGGGGACCTCCCGGACCTGCGTACGGTCCCTCGGGGGGTGCACCTCCTCCGGCACGTGCCACGGAACAGCAGACCGCCGCCTACCGACAGCTGTTGATTGGCACTATTCAAGAGAAACGCCTTCAAAGCTTCTATCCCCCTGAAAGACTTGATAAGCTCGTTCAGGCTCTGTCCAACGATGCGCCCTTCAAAGTGAGCAAGCTGACTAATGAGCTTAACATCCCAACCGAAGTGGCTATGGATGTCATGAAGTTGGCTCTCTTTGATGTTATCTTGTATGTGGACGACAGTGGCTCCATGGAATTTGAAGAACGAGGTGTGAGAAAGGAACAACTCCGTTCGACCATCGAGGTCGTTGCTTCGGCTGCGTCCACCTTTGATGACGATGGTATCTCCGTGCGGTTCATGAACTCACCTGAGCAAGGCGATGGTATTCGCAATGCAGACGATGTTAATCGCCTCATTTCGCGAGTTCGCTTCCAGGGTCTTACACCACTCGGCACAAGTCTACGCAACAAAGTCCTGGACCCGATGGTGGTAGCTCCAGCCAGAGCTGGTCGGCTCCAGAAACCTGTTCTGATCATCACTATTACTGATGGACAGCCGGCCGGTGAGCCGCTGGACAGTGTGTCGAACGCCATTGGCTATGCTGTCAACGAAGTTTCTCGCACTCAGTATGGACAGGGGACCGTTTCCTTCCAGTTTTCACAGGTCGGAAACGACACCAAGGCCCGGGATTTCCTCGCTTCTCTGGACGAAGATCCTCGAATCGGCTCCTTGATTGATTGCACCTCAAGTATGTTGTGGCCTCGCTACGTTGGTATGGTGTACTAACTGAGCTTATAGACTTCGAGGTTGAGCAAGATGAAATGTCACGGGCTAACCCCCCAGTGCATCTGACTCGCGAACTCTGGGTAAGTGCCTATGAGCTACCATCTTCACTACACGCCATCGACTGACTTTATCCTAGTGCGCCAAACTCATGCTTGGTGCTATTGACTCTTCATACGACACCAAGGATGAGAAAGCTGCTGGGCGTAGTGGTGCTCCGACTGCTGGACCTCCAGGTGGTCAGTACGGTGGTTATAACTACAACCAGCCTCCCGCTCAGAGTTACAACCAGCCGCCTCCCGGCCAGTACGGCTCAGGATCGGGATACAATCAGGCACCATACCCGCCCAGCCAGGGTCAGGGTCAGGGTCCCCCTCAGGGCTACGGGCAAGGCTATGGTGGCGGCTACGGCGCTTCCTCTCCGCATCCCAACCAACCTGGGTATGGACAGTCGCCTGGTGGAGCTACACGAGGCTACCCTGGCTACGGAGCGCCTCCCCGCTACTAGACAGGAGGTAGCATATGTTGCAGTTGGGGGGCGAACCAAACTGGTTTCGTCCAGGAATTGCTTCAGTCTGTAGCCATTGCTTTTTTGCATTATTATAAGCACTGTTATGTAATGAGGACGGCCGCATAAAATTGGCACAAATGCAAATGACCAAGGAGTCTCTCTTTGTGTGATCGCAACACCATGTAATATCTCCTATGCGGTGTATCACGAGACGATAGCATATCGATGCTCACGGTGCTCCCGATTGACCGCGGGAAAATATTTGACATAGTCATACAATCAGTAGTCTAGGCCAAGCACGACCTCAGATGCTGGCGAAAAGTGGGAAGCTTTTTCCATCGCACATGACGTCATAACGACCAGTATCACGTGAGCATGTCGAAGTGCGCTACAATAGATAACAGCTGAGTTGCACCATCAAGCCTGCGTTTGTAGTGGATGTGCAGTGACTATCTTCGAGATAGCAGACCAGAATCGCACGATGGAGACCGCAACCAAGAACAGCATGGATGTTCGCCATTGTCTTTATTATCAACAAGTACACATCAGAGGCATGGTCAACGCGTGTGGTGGAAAATGCCATCCAAACCGTGGACAGGTCGGAGGATTTCCTATTTCGGACTGTATCCACCATAGCCCCAGGAGGAAGAAGAACACTGTCACTAGGTTATGCTCCACTGTAGGTTAGTGTTGAGGGCTCGTTATCCATGTCATGTCTGTCTTGAGTGTTCGTTCGTTCAACTTTCCACAAACTCCAACCAGTCAAGTTCGAGTCGGAGAGATCAGTGGCGCGCAGGCAGCCGCATGACAGGGACAGATGATAGACTGCTGAATGGTCGGCTTGGCCCCGCCCTAGGTTCCCTCTCTCAGGCTCTCAGTCTTCTCCTTCCCTCCAATAATAAACTAACTTTGTCTTGTCTTTCCTGGTTCTAGGCAAAGTCGCGCGAGTTCCTGTTGCCACCACATGTGCGCCCACCCGCGCGGGGGAAGCCTACGTAAAACCAGGCTCCAACTGCCAGTCATTTGGGTTAGTATCCATGGAAAGGTGGGATTGGAGAAATTTCTGGATGGAGGGTCAGCCATGGATGGATGGATGGACGGATGATTTCGACTTCTTCCGCCACTTCTTGCGCCTTGCCCTAAGATTCTGTTACTGAGTTAGTTTTAGTACTCGTACTTTGATAAAGTTACGGGTTAATGAGTTAGTCATCACCAGATCTAACTAGTGATCGCTTAATTAAGATCTCAGGTGAATTTACTCAGAGGATGAGGGGCACAGTCAGGCTCAAATACATGTCATAATAATCCAAGTACCTTGTCTGAGTAGAACAACAGAATATTCATAGATTATGTGAGAAGAGGAGAGAGGAGGGCAGTGCAGGAGAGTAAGTGTGGGAAAGTTGTTTACGTGGTTGCGTGGCCCTCCGGCTGGTTCTGGTCGAGGGCGGAGAAGCGACCGATGAATGGCCGGGCAGCAATTAAGGTGCCTCCGCATTCGCATTCAAGGTTAGTACGAGTAAGTTATCTGCCATCATCAGTCAAGTCCTGATCATTTATTTATTCATTGATGAAGGAATTTAATTAATCTTCATTTCGCCCTCTGTCTCTCTTTCTCTCTTTCTCTCCCCTTCCTTCCCTTTTGCCTTTCTTCCCTTCTTCTGTCTGACCCTCTCAAACCTCACCGCTAAGCAGGCAAGGTGACTGACTATCTCCTCTCCTCTCCCTTGGGGACTGTTCCCTCACCTGCGTGCAGTCTTATCGGTCGATTATCAGCCAGTGGCGGCGGCTCTGCTATTTTCGGGCAGGGCGACCGCTTTCAATCAACTTGTTCATTTCCAGGGCCCCTTTTTTCTGCCTTTCGCTTTTTTCGTCACTTGCCCACTTTAGGACATCATACCTTTGGTCCCTCGCCGCCTGCGGAAACCCTGAACGGTTTACAGACTGACCACGCCGTTTCCTACTCATTCCTCTGCTTTTCCTTCCAGACCAATTCCTTTCTCTAGACTGTTTATTATCATCAACATCGCCTTTTGGACTACACGTCCCGCGCCCGTGTGATCTATTATCTTTCACCGGGGTTGATTCAAGTGATACTCCACCCCCCACAGTCGTTTCTGCTTCGTTTCATCCGTCGCATTCGCCTTTCCCCACTATAAACAGCCAAATCTTCTGTCGCCAAACCACCTTACGGCCGACCTCATATATACGCACGACACCACAGGTCGCTTGTACTGTACATACCACGCTAATATTTAAGTCTTCCATATCGGTGGTTCCCTATGCCGTCTTCCGCCTAAGACGCTGGTCATTTGATTGAGTCGCTGGATCTAGGCCAAAGCATGAGTCCAGCTGTCGACTACCTTGTGTTTCCTAGTCCGCGCAGTACAACCGATTTGTCCCACAATAGCATCTGACTTCTCCGTATCCAATCTGAAATCAGGTGGAGTTTGGCAGGAGAAAGATTAGTGGACAAGCGGGATTGCTGGTCATCGCATTTCCCGGCCATTCGCCATGCCTGAAGATCATGAATCACCAGAATCAAACCACATTCCACGGGAAGCGACATCTGCAGAACAGCCAACGATAACAAGTCAAGGGCGTTCGCCAACCGACGGTCCCACTCCCGCCTCACAGCTCCCCAGAAGCCAATCCCTGCAGATACCCTCCACCCGAACAAATGTGATTCCCAGCCGCTCCTCGATTTCGCCGTCCCGCGCCGTCTCCGACGCAGGTCGGCGACCATCGCAGCAACACCATGTCCGATTTTCGACCGATCTAGAACGCCCTGCGGTGGACGAGGCCCAACGGTCCGATTGGGATCGTCGACCAGCCTCGAGGGGACTGACCATCGACACGAACCTCGCGGAGAATTCAAGCGCCACTTCGCCATTGTCTCCGCGCTCCGCATTGTCCCCTCCGTCCCCGCAGAGTCCCGAATCTGGGGGTCGGTCAAGGTCCCGCCACCGTGGATATTCCCTGCGACGAACAATTTTCGCCAAGAATATCGAGTCGCAGTCGGCCGTCACTTCTCCCGACGCGATCGAGTTAGGTACCGCTTTGCCCGTGAGCCCTCAGCAGGCCGAGGCTTCGGCAGATGGCCTTGCTCGGACAGTAACGGTGAACGAAAACAGGCCAGCGCTGGCAGATGAGAAACAGGAGGTGCTGGTCATGCAAAGATCGGCCTCGGATGCCAACCTGGACTTATCCACAACTTACTACTCGGAGCCTTCAGAGAACCTGAAGGATGGCAGACACCTTTCCACGACCTTCGCATACGACCGGTGGCTGAAGCGCAAAGCCGCGATTGCCACGCTCAAGCTTCGTATGGAGACGATGGCTGAGACTGTTCGCAAATCTGTACTCCGCATCAAGGAGATTCCCCCGAGCAAAGACGGACGCCATATCGATCTCAATCCTGCCCGCACAGAAACTTTGGTGGATGAGAGAACAGGAAGGCCTTATCTAGGAAACTCCATCCGTTCCAGCCGATACAGCTTCTGGAGCTTTTTCCCACGCCAACTGTTCGCCCAATTCACCAAGCTTGCGAATTTCTACTTCCTGATAGTCGCCATCCTGCAAATGATCCCTGGGCTGAGTACCACTGGTACCTACACCACGATTGTTCCGCTACTGATCTTCGTCGGTATCTCTATGGGTAAAGAAGGGTTTGATGACTGGCGCCGTTATCGCCTGGACAAGGAAGAGAACAATCGGAATGCCCTTGTCTTGCGTCCAAATGCCGGAATCTTCCATCCGGCTTCTGCCCCTGACAGCATCTCCGTGAACAGTAATGTGCAAGATTGGACGTTGATCAAATGGAAGGATATTCAAGTGGGCGATGTGATAAAATTGGAGCGTGACCAGCCTGTGCCGGCGGATATGGTTCTGCTCCATGCGGACGGGCCGAACGGCGTTGCTTATATCGAAACAATGGCTCTCGATGGCGAGACGAACCTGAAGAACAAGCAGCCTTTGCAGCCGGTAGCAAAGATATGTGGTTCTGTTGAGGGTATCTGGAGCAGCGCTCTACATTTTGCGGTCGAGGATCCCAACCTTGACCTCTATAAGTTCGATGGCAATGTCACGGTCGCCGCGAATGAGAAATTGCCATTGACCAACACCGAAGTTCTCTACCGCGGTAGTATAATGCGCAACACCGAAAGGGCGATCGGCATGGTCATTTACACAGGGGAGGAGTGTAAAATTCGCATGAACGCGAACAAGAACCCTCGGATCAAGTCTCCATCGCTGCAGGCAGAAGTCAATCGGGTGGTCATGTTGATCGTGACGCTCGTTGTAATTCTGGCGGTAGCGTGCACAATTGCTTACAAGTATTGGTCCGAAGACGTTGAATCGAAGTCATGGTACCTTTACAAGGCGAGCGTGGACATCGGACCTATCTTCACCTCCTTCCTTATTATGTTCAACACGATGATTCCTATTTCATTATATGTGAGTATGGAAATCGTCAAAGTTGCTCAGATGCTTCTTTTGAATGCCGACATCGACATGTATGATCCGGAAACAGACACCCCCGTTGAAGCACGCACATCGACCATCAACGAAGAGCTGGGTCAAGTCAGTTACATTTTCTCTGACAAGACGGGCACATTGACGAACAACTCGATGCGCTTTCGCAAGATGAGTGTGGCTGGCACCGCGTGGTATCATGACCTTGACCTCCTTCAAGAAGCAGCAAAGGACGGTGATCATACCAAACTGATTCACAAAAAGCGTAGTGCCAAAGGGAAGAAGGCACTCAGTCGCAAGTCCAATGTTTCCGAGGCTAGAAGACATCCGCCAAGATCCTCCATGTCAACAGCGACCGGGCTTCAGGGACTTGGCATCTCTATGCGTAATCACCGGACCACAGACATGCTTCGATATATCCAGCGCAAGCCTTATACGGTCTTTGCGCGGAAGGCTAAGATGTTTATACTGGCCATGGCGCTGTGCCATACATGTATCCCCGAGGATGACGACGAGGGGAACGTCTCCTTCCAAGCGGCCTCTCCTGATGAGCTAGCTCTGGTCATGGCTGCACAGGAGCTTGGATATCTTGTCCGTGACCGGCAACCAAATACTCTAACAATTCGCACATACCCCAATGGCCTCGACGGGCCCGCATGTGACGAGGTTTATGAGATCATGGATATTATCGAATTCTCCAGCGCTCGAAAACGCATGTCGGTTGTGGTTCGGATGCCTGACCAACGCATCTGCTTGTTTTGCAAGGGAGCCGATAGCCATGTCATGCGCTTGCTCAAGCGTGCCGCCCTCGCACAAGAGAAGGCAGTGGAGATTGAGAGGCGCGCCAGCAAGCGTAAGGCAGCCGAGGCCGATCAGGTTATACGGCGCAATAGCGAATATCACAGCCGCAAGGATAGCGGCCTTCGGACCAGCTTCAGCCGGCCGAGCATGTCGAGACGACGGTCAAGCGTCACTGGAGAACCTGTTTCGGCGCTGCGGGAGAGTATTGATGTTTGGCTCCGGGACCGGGAAACTGAGGGTGGGCTCCTGACGCGTGGCAACGATCCTGAGTACTATAGCCCCCGGCCATCTGCCCAGTTGGGACGAGCATCTAGTACTTTATCGGATTCGGGAAGCTCCGTGCATGATAATGAGGAAGAAGACTTGGTTGAGGAAGCTCTGGTTGTGAACGAGACGGCTGTCTTCGAAAGATGTTTCCAGCATCTCAACGACTTCGCTACCGAAGGACTGCGGACGCTTCTGTATGGTCACCGGTTTCTCGACGAAGATACGTACACGAGCTGGAAAAAGGCTTACCTTGAAGCCTGTACCAGCCTTGTTGACCGTCAGGAGAAGATCGAGATGGTGGGCGAGCAGATCGAGGATCAACTTGAGCTTACAGGCGCTACAGCCATTGAAGATAAGCTTCAGAAGGGTGTTCCCGGGGCCATCGACAAACTGCGTCGAGCCAACATCAAGTTGTGGATGCTTACTGGTGACAAGCGTGAGACGGCGATCAATGTTGGACACTCATGTCGCCTTGTGAAAGACTATTCCTCCCTGGTGATCCTTGACCACGAGACGGGGGAGGTCGAACGTTCGATTGTCAAATTCACCGCTGACATCACCAAAGGCACCGTGGCTCACTCAGTGGTGGTTGTGGATGGGCAGACCCTCTCGATGATTATAGCCGACAAGACCCTGGAAGCGCAGTTCTTCCGACTGGCCATCATCGTGGATTCAGTGATCTGTTGCCGTGCCAGCCCCAAGCAAAAAGCATTCTTGGTCAAGTCGATTCGGAAGCAAGTGAAAGACAGTGTGACGCTGGCCATCGGCGACGGTGCTAATGACATCGCCATGATCCAGGAAGCCCATGTTGGCATTGGCATCACTGGCAAGGAAGGGCTCCAGGCCGCTCGCATATCCGACTACTCGATCGCGCAGTTCCGGTTCCTCCTCAAGCTCCTCCTCGTCCACGGCCGTTGGAACTATATCCGCGTGTGCAAGTACACCCTGGGCACTTTCTGGAAGGAAATGCTTTTCTATCTCACACAAGCTCTCTATCAACGCTGGAACGGCTATACAGGTACTAGTCTTTACGAGTCCTGGAGTCTGAGCATGTTCAATACTCTCTTCACGTCCCTTGCAGTCATCTTCTTAGGCATCTTCACCAAGGATCTTTCCGCCTCCACCCTCCTCGCCGTGCCCGAACTCTACACCAAAGGCCAACTCCATGGAGGGTTCAACATCCGACTATACATTGGCTGGACTTTCATGGCCACCTGTGAAGCCATGATCATTTACTTCTTAATGTTTAGTCTCTTCGAGAATGTCATGTTTACACGTACTGGAAGCGACATCTTCTCCGCCGGTCTCCTCACCTTTACCGCCTGCGTCATCGTCATCAATACGAAACTACAGGCTCTCGAAGTACACAACAAAACCTACATGTCTCTAGCGGTCTGGATCATCTCCGTCGGCGGTTGGTTCTTGTGGAACCTGATCCTTGACCTCCGCTACAACCCTTCCTCCGGCGACGGCATCTACCATGTTCTAGGAAATTTCGTCCACGTTTCGGGTCACGACCTAGCTTTCTGGGCCGTATTGCTCGTGACGGTCGTGAGCGTGGTGACCTTCGAAATGACCGTCTCCGCCCTGCGGGCCCTGTTCTTCCCCACGGACGTCGACGTTTTCCAGGAATACGAGCAGGACCTGGACATCCGCATGCGGTTCGAGGAAGCGGCGGCCTCCGAACTCCAGCAGGGCTGGGACCACGGCAAGAAGAAATCCAGCTTCGAACTCGCGCGGGAGGAGGAGGAGATGGAAGCCAAGGAGCGACAGGTTCGGGAGCTGCTGGCTCGCCCGCGCGTCATGGTCTCGCCCACCGCCGCAGCGAAGACCGAGGATGGTCCGGTCGCGACCGAGCTGGAGGTGAAAGAAGGCGACCCGCATCATCCCCACAAGAGCGATGGACCAGACGATTACGAAGTTGAGAACAACCCAGAGGGCACGAAGACCCCGCGCCGCTCGGTCGAGATCCACGAATTGTTCTCCAAGGGTTACGGGGCCATCCGAAAGGGTCAGCTGAAGTAAACGAGACGGACGCACCCGTCAAACCAAAGAAACCCAAACGCAAAATAAATGCATTTCATCATGTTTTTTTCTGCTTTCCCAGCGTGTGTCATCATCATCATGGCGTTTTGCAAGAAATGGATACCCCCACACCTCACTCGGCCTTTGCTTGTTGTTTCAATCCACTCACTCCCTATCTCTGAGGTTCTTGATACGTTTTCTCTGTGTCTTCAATACATTCTCCCGCTCCGTCGTGCTGACGACATACACTACACCATTTGTAAAGCAGTGGCGATTGCATGAACTCTTCCGGGGTGTGTTTGACATAGAGACCAAACTATTCTGTGAATCAAAGCAGACCAAGTACACATAGGTCTTCCTCATTCTCTTCCATCACCCTGTCTGGTGATTCTCTACTGATCGAACTGATATGTTGTGATGGTGATGGTGATAGTAGTACGAATGGTAATAGTGCACAACTGCCTTCGAACATTTAGTGGGACTCTCGTACTATTTTGTCATGTACAATGTTTGAAGTCACAGCTGACTGCTGCATAGATGGATGGACAGAGGTAAGATATGAGCATTGAAGTCTGAAACTATGTAAAGATGAAAAAGGCAAAAAGAAAAAAAAAGAGTCGCTGGACGCAATTGTCAACATACAGGCAGTGGTATCTCAATCGATAATGATTAGTGGGTAAAAACCGCAGTCACTCAGTACGGCAGTCAGCCATACGCAATATGAGAAAGCCCCGTGGCATTCCTTTCGCACCGCTCAGCTCGGGGCGCAGTGTGACGGTATAGTGAACAGGTGGTGATTCGCACAGACAGTCGTGGTGGCGATGGTGTGGTAGTGGTGCACATCTCCATAGTGGTGGACGGGGGTTGCGAGTAAGGCCGGGCCGGGGCTTCCAGGACAGTGCCGGGAACTCGCAATCGCTGAGGCGGCACCATTTACTACAAAGGCCGGCCCCTTCTTTGAAGTAGACTGATAGCGCGCAAGCGATCCCGTTCAGGGTTCCTCTCTTCTTAATCGTAGTACCACATCAATCATCCTTGCAGCTCGTACATCTGCGTCCCCTCTTGCACAGGCTGCTTCTTCGCCGGGGCCGGTAACTCGTACAGCGGCGATCCCGCCACCTCACTCGTCTCCTGCGTGGGCATAGGGGCCCTCTGTCTCTTCTTTCGCCGACGGAGGAAGAAGAATGCCAGTGCCCCGATCACGGCGGCGGCACCGACACCCACGCCGACGCCGACGCCGATGCCGACGCTACTTGAGCTGGAGCTGGAGCTATGCGAGGAAGCGGGCGAAGAAGTGGTCGAGGACAAGCCGGAGGTCGCGGCACCGGTGGACTGTGCGGAGCCAGTCGAGGTCGCAGTGGTAGATGAGGTGGTGGTTGTCGTCGTCGCGGTGCCCTTTTCGCGCACGTAGAAGTAATCACTCCAGCTGATCCAGCCATATAACTCGACTCCGTAGGTACCTAACTTGGCGGTGGCGTTGAACAATCCGATCTGGTATTGGGGGTTGGTGGTGTTGAAATCGCTGGGAATGGCCCATGTGTATTGTTCCAGGGTGCAGTTGGCGGTCTCATTGACGACGAGTTGGTACAGCGAGCTGGTGGTGGTGAACTTCGCGCCCACTATTTATTACGTCCAGAGATGCGGTCAGCCCCCGTGAGTTGTAGGCATAAAGACCCTTGTTTAGGACAACATAAGAACTAACCCGTGATTTCGTCGATGAGGGTGCCTCCGGCGCGGCCCAGGGAGATGTTGAGTGGAGTATCTCCATTGTCGATCGCGCCCCATCGGAGCTGAAGGATGTCACCCGGATTGACCTCCTTATTCTCGAGCCCATAGAACGTCCCAGGGACGCAGTCCGTATACCCTTGGGTTGACATGGTCAGAGAATGGAGTAAGAGAGGCTCACGGAGAAGCCTTTTCGCTGGAAGATCAGGGTTGGGACACTAGAGAACATGGCCTGGGGTCGATGGTCCAAACGGCAGGAACAGACTTCTTTACTTAGGGCAGCAGACCCATCACCAGGACGTGCCCGTCAATAGCGGTCTCCTAATATAGGGCCGTATCCGGCCGGTACAGCCTTCAACTACGGTCGCTAGCTCGTACGCAATGTGGTGGCATTGCAACGGACCGCAAATCAGCGCCTCGGAAACCTCCCCAGCTGGCGATCCTTCATCTATGTCGAGAATCCTTTCGTTCCGATACCAGCAGCCTTGGTGTGGCAATTGGGTGATCGGACTGCATTGTGGACGGGAAAAACGTGTAGGCAGAAGGGAACGCGTGCACCGAGTTTATCGGGGTGGTTTCAGCCTGAGCAGGGACCCTGTGCAGGGAGCTAGAAGAGGAACTGGACATAGAAAATTGCTGTCGTAGTGGTTGACATAGTACGGAGTATGGTATGTAGTATGTACGGTAGTTACTCGATGACTCCGTAGGCTTTCTTCAGTCAATCGGTTCAGGGGAGGCTCCGCCTCTGCGGGTGGGACCAGGGATTGGGGGCCAAATAATGGTTGGAACAATGCAAACCGCCCTGGGTTCGTTCTGGTTCAGGTCCGAGGTCTCCATATTAACAGTCGGTCCCCACCAATGGTCGACCAGCCCGCCAAGCAGGATATATGCCTTGGGCTGTTATATGGACAGACTCCCGGTCGCAATAATTATCGTTATTATCTTTTGCGTTTTGCGTTTTGGTCGAGGGACATGCCGTTATACACCCTCCTCGATCGTCCGACCGACCAACTCAACTCCCCCACCTCCTGAAAAAAGCAATGAGTGTTATAACCTCACAAGAATCCTAAAAATGCCGGCGTCTCGAATGCAACTGCGGCGGCAGAATACATTTATTGCTTTGGGTCTCGTGGCTCTCTGCGTCTGGTTCTTCACCTCGCATCGATCGCGGAGCGGCGAACTGGTTCACAGCCATGAGCAATTCTGGCGAGATTTCCACCCGCTTCTCGTGGATCTTGCGCCAGATTGTCAGTCCCCAACTCGCCTGGGAAATGCTGAATCTGCCGGTTTCGATCCGAAAAGCACCGAACCGCTGCCTGACTTATTGAGGATGCCAGCCGAGGACATTGCGAAGATGAAACAAGCACACACGGCGTTCGCAAATGCGATCGAGCGAGCCCCTCCCAAACTCAATTACCAGCCACATACGCGCGGACTGGTATCGACCGCCGGCGGCCCTTATCTTCCAGTTCTGGTGATTTCGCTGCGCATGCTGCGACGGACGGGCTCGACTCTGCCGATGGAGGTCTTCCTCGCCGACTGGCAGGAATATGATGGGTATCTTTGCCAGGTGGTCCTTCCCTCGCTGAACGCACAGTGTGTGGTTCTGTCGGAGATCCTGGAAGCGGTGCCCGACAGCACGAACAAGATCGAGAAATACCAGTACAAGATCTTCGCAATGCTTTTCTCCTCGTTCGAGGAGATCCTCTTCCTCGATGCAGATGCCTTTCCCCTGCAAAGGCCCGAGGAGCTGTTCACCGCCGACCCGTTCAAGTCCAAAGGCCTGGTCACCTGGCCCGATTTCTGGCGTCCCACAACATCGCCTTTGTACTATAAGATCTCATCGCCGAAAGAGCGCGGAACACAACCATCCAACCCGACCGCTCTGCGGCAGTCGACCGAGTCCGGGGAAGTACTGGTGTCCAAGCGCACCCACCTTCGCACCCTTCTTCTAGCTGCATACTACAACTTCTATGGCCCCAGCCATTATTACCCGCTTCTCTCGCAGGGCGCAGCCGGTGAAGGGGACAAAGAAACGTTCCTTGCCGCCGCCAGTGCCCTCGACGAACCTTTTTATCAGGTCAGCGAACCCATTCGGGCGGTTGGGCGCCGGACGCCCGACGGGTTTGCTGGATCAACCATGGTTCAGTACAGTCCGATGGAGGACTATGCCCTGACGAAGAAGGGTATTTGGAGAGTCAAGGGCGCGACTGCGCCCACACCCAGTCCATTTTTCGTCCATGTCAACTATCCCAAGTTCAACCCCGCCACGATCTTCGCGGAGAACGGCGTGACCAACCCGGTGATCGATGAGAGAGGACAGTATACGCTGGCATGGACGGCGCCAGAAGAAGTGGTCGCCTCGTTCGGCGGCAACGCTCAGCAGCGGTTCTGGGAAGATATCCATTGGACGGCCTGCGTGCTTGAGGGTAAGATCCTCAGCTGGGAGGGCAAGACGGGGATCTGCCAGCAGACTAGGGACTACTGGAATACTGTTTTTAAGAATTCTGCTGGTAAGATGATGAATCAGTCGTAAGCGAGAAGAGAAGATTCGATTGATAGCCCCTGTGCTGGTCGCATGTGCTATTGCCCTTATGTGAGTAAGCGATATGTTATTCTAGCGTTGTGTTATTATGAGGACGTTGGTTTGCGGGAAACATCATACAATCCCCTGCCAACAAGGAATCGGTATGCATGAAGACTCGTCACGGAAGATATCTCGGAGGAATTGTCTATCTGTCATATTTAGTGCAGACAACCATTTCGCAGCCTCGTCTGTCAAGCATACCACACGGTAAAAGAAGGCTGGAATCAGAACAGGGCCCTTGGGTTGTCGACCATGCCGAAATCCTGCCTTGGATGGTGATTCCGCAGGACGTGATCTGGCATAAGCAGGATACCTAAGCAGGTGTTACCATACTAGGTAGGCGCTGTAAGACAACTGGAACTTGGAATTCAACCGTGACCGTGAATTGAAACGACACTCAGAGCGAAACCTCTGCTCAGTCAAGCGTGATCCAAGAATGTGCTATATCCAAGGGCATGCTTTCCATCATTTGGCAGCGTTTGACCTGCCAGGGCTTTTCGTAGATTTGTGAGGATGGGAAGCAATAAGTCTCCGATATCTGCAGCTCACAGAGTAAGACTCTGGAGGGGGTTCATTCGGATAGTGATGTTGTCGATGCTGAGGCTCCTGGTTCCAACGGCAGCGAGACATAGGCGTGTTGAGAGTCTGGCTGTCCGGCAAGGTTTCGGTCGTCCATCCCTTGTTTACTTTCAAGTTTGCATTGGTTTGATTTAGTTATGTTTCGAGATGACCAATCCATGTCGTGCCTTCTGTTTTTATTCTTGTTGCGACCCATGATATATCATTTGAAGAATTTATCGGTCGTAGTAAACGATTCATTCGCTAGTTATATGATAGACCTGATGGTTAAGGTACAACCGAGCTTTCAGCAGTATACAATTCCAGCCGCTACCGCGAACCGTGCAATTCAAGTAACAAAGCTGGTTTTTCCCTCCCCTTTTATTTGAAGTGGCCTCAGGTGGAGGTAGGCACACAAGACCCAAGTCAACAGTAAAGCAAGTGAGGTACCGTCCTGCCCGAGGTACGGTACATAGTAGGCCACCACCCTTGGCTGTTGTCCCTCTCCAAATGGAGATGCGCCTCTAAGCGAGAAAAGCTTCTTGTCGGCAGTATTTCGCTAGCTTCATGTCTCTAGTCCCAAGAGCCGAGTCACTTTTATCCACCCTGCCCTTTTCGCTAAGCGACGAACATCAAGATGGCAATCTTGGCGGAAATGCATGCATATGGAATCGAGCACTAGTTTATGTATCGCTACGGTGAAGTGTGGGAGAATAGATGATTCGTGTGGACGAAAGCTATAAATATTCTCTGTCTGATGAGTCCGTACAGTACTCCGTAAGGGAACGTCGATCCCTCAGAGCAAGTACCAGGTGGGCTCGGGGACTATTGATCGTGGTGCGTATTGTGTTCGTGACTATTGTTGTTTCTATTTCTATATTGTACTGTATGTCATAGCCTTTTTTTGTCTCGAAGGCATGGACTGGAATTGGGATTGGAAAAAGACCACTAAACATGCAAGCTGTCTGCTGGAAAGAGGGGTTCTCTCTCTGGATGCTTCAGAGGTCCATTGCCAAGATGATAGACATGCCCTGAGCGCGGGCTGCAGAGGGGGAGTTCACCATAGACTACTCCGTACCTGGACGAGGAATTAAGATACGTGACTCGTAGCCCATGCGGGGTGAGATTCCACCGACTCAAGCGAATGTCCTGATGAAGTTGTTTGTTTGTTGGTGACATTGGGAATTGGGCGACCACATGCTCCGTGCGCTAGGCTCCAGGCACTGCAGCAAAAGTGTTTGGGCCTGGCGATGGCGAGATGGATGGATTGGACAGGAGAAGAGGGAAGACTCGGCGATGAAACCCGAACGGACCGGTAACTGCCAGATCATGGCGTGCAGACACTATTGAGCACCAAATGGGGCAGATCGTGTCGAGAACAGCAAGGGTGAGAGGGGTCGTTCACAACTTACGGTTTACCAGAGCTAGCTTCAACTTCCGCCGGAGTACACCGAACTACATCGTACCGACTGAGTGGATCGGAATGCGAGCATGGGCTTGCAAGCTGAAGTTTGCAACCATGTTTCGTTACGGTGTGTGTGATTGACAGTGGAGCAGGGACGGGTCAAGGCACACGATATGATGACTTGAATTCATCAGAGGCATGAATCGGGGGGGACACTGGCAGGTTCGGTTGCGACCCCTATTGACATTGATCCGAACGAGGATGAGGAAAAGAAAATTCCCCCGGTGGTCAGTGGTCGGCGGTCAGTGGCTAATGATCGATGCCTATCCCTGCTGCTTGCTTACTAGGATGATGCAGTCAGCATCTCGTTAGCGCCGCCGACAGGCAAGTTCTCGACCTCCCCCTTCGGATGACTGATCCATCCTGATCCATGATCCATGGGTGACTTGCCCCGACGGGTAAGGTGCGGGTGTGCCTGGCGCTCGCTGGTGGCTGAGTTGACCTGGTCCAATCGGACACTACTGGAGGCGTGCACGGATCATCTGCACGCCCCGTCCATCCTTTTCTCTTTCCCCCATTTTGGTCCAAATATGGTTTAGCTCACGTGGTGCAGCAGGGAAAAACTCAGGTAAGGTACGGAGGTCCTTCCCCTAGTATTATCTGCTACGACTCGGAAGTCGGAGCAGAGCTGTCTGTGTACCTGCGTCTGCTAACTGCAGCACGACCATCATAGGGAAATAAAACAGAGAAGAAGAATAACGTCGCAGGTTGCGCTCCGCGGACATCCTGTCGATCATGGGATTATTTCCCCGTATTTTCGTGGATGTTCTTGAGCGCAGCATGTTCTCGATCGCAACTCATGTTCGTGGCTAGTCGCCTTGGTTTAATTGGATTTAATATATTTTCCATGATCGATTTGGGGGATGGAGAACAGATGGAAAGACAAGATGGCCCAGACTAACAACCGATGGAAACCGTCCCAAGACCGAACTCCTATGAGTAAGACCCAAATCAGCGAGGGGGGAGCCAGCAGCACGAGTACCGAACTGGAGCCTACCGTACATTGTTTTCTCCACCCGAAGCTAGCGCTGTCATGTGTGAAGGTCCAATCATCCACAATGAAAAGGTGGGCAGAAAACTTGCCGCCGGCACGGGCGGAGACCAACCCAATTGGAAAACAGGTCGCCGGGCTCGGGTCGTGTAAAAGGCACACTGGGCACCTACTAACGTACTGTGCCTACCCATAGGCAATTCGGCATTAATAGAATCTTCGGCAGCACGGCGGTCTCTGAAAGACTTCGGGAAGCGAACAACCACTCATGCACCCAATGTATAGTTATTGTAGTATCAGTGAGATATGACCTGCTTCTCATCGACGACACTGGAAGGGGTGCACAAGAGCCTGGGCACTGATGGCATCGTCACTCCAGCGAATGGAGTTACCCTGGTTAGCGAGCTGTAACTGACCATCAACTAGTGAAGTTAACTCCGTTCCGAGGGTTACTAAAGATTTCCTCGGTTCTCCCCTGATCCAGGCATTCACCGCCCACGGTTCCAGTGGCCGAGCTCCACGCTGGCAGAAGACAGTCCCTGTGTGACGCTGCGGCTGGGATGGAAGGGAAGAATCGATCGAAGGAAGGAACCATGTCCATGCACCGGCCAGACTTTCGGCAGACCAGACCAGAAAGACTCGTCAGTCACTCCGTTCGATCGTTGTTAGTAATTGATCTGTAGACTCTTTCTTGCTTGGCCTCGTCACTGTTTCTTGTTTCCCTCCACCGCGCCCTGGATACTCCATCGCGCAAAGGACGCTCTTGATTCGGCAAACTCGCGACAATGCTCCACTACCCGGAACCCTTGGGGGGAGCTTGTCGACACCGGGCGCTTCTGCAATGCCCGCCCGGTCGCTGGAACGGTCCAGCTCACGTTGCTGCTTCGGATCCAGAGGGACCCTACGTCAGTAGTGGACTCGACCGGACCATGTTCCTTCGACGGGAATACACTCGCTCGGTGCCGCTGCTACCAGAAGCAGGGACTTCCGGACGTTGGGGGAGCAGCGCATCACCTAGCACTATTTATGGTGGACGATATGTAGTCAATCTTCTACCGTTCAGACCACCGGACCCAGAAAAAGGACTGGCTGAGCCAATGGGAACTTCTTCCAGCCACAGGTGCCTTGCTTGACAGCAGCAGCAGCAGCAGCAGCAGTGGTAGATGCTGGCTGGTGGTGGACGGAGGATGTTCCGAGATGGACCTTACTTAGCCTCGAAGCATCTGATACGAGGAAAGACTAAAGTTCAAAGTCGGGTGCAGTGAGGACATACGCCGGCCGGGATGGGAGAAGCGTCTTTTTCTGATTGGTGGAGACATCGATTGCACAGGATGAAGAACGATCGGGCAGCCAGTTGCAGATGGTGCAAAATGCAACCAGATGCAGGGGCTAAAACAAGGCGGTGGGCATTGGTTCTGTAACAATCTGGTCTTGCTTCAGGAAACGCCATGTGAAGGTCTGTAACGTCCCCAATGTTTTACCGGCCGGCGGCGGCACAAGGCGACGGAGAACTGAGATTGATATTATGATACAGGGCAGAGCCAAAGTAATAAGGAAGAAGGGATAAATAAGGCTGATCAATACCAGCATCCATGATGTCTATAACAGACTTATGCTATGATCGAGATAGCATTAATTTCTACGGAATACTCTGACGGTCGATAAGTTATCCCCTGAACCGCTTACTATCAGTGACCAACCACCTTACTACCTTCACTGCCACTTACTTGCCTCTCCGACGTGGCTCTCGAAAAGATATTGGTATTCTTGTAGAGCCAACCTTGAAGGTCTAAACCATGAAAGGGAGCGTCTAGGGGATATACTACACAATTCAACCGCGAAAAGGCAACTAAAGGAAATAGAAACAGAAAACAGAGGGAAAAAAAGAAAACAAAAAAAAAAAGGAAAAGCCGGAAAAAGAAAAGAAAGTAGGAGAAAAAAAAGACAGAGAGAGAAAAAAGAAAAGTGAAGAGAAGGGGAAGAAAAGGCCAGCCCCACGGAGACAGTCAGGAACAGCCGGTGCCAAAACAGCCCAGCGCCAACTACTGACTCGCTAACCGTTTCGGGAACTCCCCCCATCCCATCTCCTGACTGACTGTCGCCCTCAACCCGCCCGCCCAGCCCGTTCTCCTCTCCTCTCCTCCTACCCTACTTACTTACTCTTACTCCTTCTCTTCTTCTTCTTCTACTCTCCTTCTCTTCTTCTCTTCCTTACCGGCCATCTTCATTCCCTTCCCTTCTTTTCCCTCCCCCCCACCCCCATTCACTCGTTTCTTGTTGTTTTTACTTCAATTCCATTCTTTCATTTACCACTATCCGCTCGCTTCAGTCGATCGTTTCACTCTTTCACGATCCCCCGATCAAATCTCCTTGTCTTCGCTTACCTTAGGCCGAGATCTCTCAACCAGTATCCGCAACATTACATCTCGGCTCTTCGTCAATTGAGACCTGATCACGGAGTTGTATACTTCTGTCTCAGGCTAACGAAGTCATCGATTCTTTTCACCTCGAAGCTGCCTAGGCCAGCTGTTTACATTCATCCCGCTTCTTGACTATATCAACCCCCCCAAATCGACGCTTCCGCGACGCGCGCTTTTGTCCCGCCCCCTCAAGCTTTGTGTCTTCGAGTTCACCCCGTGTCTCACAGCCAAAGCGCTTCCATTCGTTTGATCTCACCACGATTCTCTCGCGCTTGACGCTGCTACAGAGAGACCGATATCTCATCCCCATTGACTGTCGACCGGATCGTCACCAAAATCTCAACCCTCCCCTACACACTTCGGAGCATCTGTTTCCACTTTGGTCGTATCTCCTTTTTCTCGTCGTACTACCTTACCATTTCGCCCAATCCCTGCAAACATGTCTTCGACAGACACTCTTGACCCTTCCACCACCCCATGCTCTGCCACTACAGCAGCAGCCACGGCAACTTCGTCTCCCTCGGAAACCTCCACGCCATCCCCCGCCATGTCCAATGCTACCACTACCACTACTGCTCCCGCTGCACGCCGTCCTCAAAGGAAGAGTACCTTGACGCAACAACAGAAGAACAACAAACGCCAGCGCGCGACTCAGGACCAATTGGTCACACTCGAAGTCGAGTTCAACAAAAACCCTACCCCTACCGCCGCCACTCGTGAAAGAATCGCCCAAGATATCAACATGACTGAGCGGTCCGTTCAGATCTGGTTTCAAAACAGGTTGGTGACCTCTCTGTGCACATTGGAAGTGACGTACTGACCGCGCCGACGCAGACGCGCTAAGATTAAGATGCTTGCGAAGAAGAGCATTGAAACCGGCGAAGGATGCGATTCGATCCCCGAATCAATGCGCCAATATCTGGCGATGCAATTCGACCCCAGCAAGCCTGGTGTAAGAGACCCCTTCGGCCGAACAGGAGGCTACGGAACCAATGGGGCCTACCCTCATGAGCCGACCCCCTCTGGCAAAGTTGGTATGTTGGTTAAGCACTGGTGCACTCGTGACATTGAGACTGACTGGCATAGTTATTCATCACTTCACATGCCGTTCCTTGACTATCGGCAGCTGGCGCCGCATTGGACAAAACGCAATGGATCTCGTTGTCTTCTATTCCCCGGAGAAAGCATGCATGACTTACTATATCAACAACGACTCTGCCGGGTACAAGATCGAATACCCCTTTGCCTACATCAAGAACATCACATTGGAGTCTGGTGACCAGACCCCCGGACCAAATGGCGCCCCTTCGCGGACGGGCGGCCTAGTTGTGGAACTAAATCGACCTCCATTGTTTTACATGGACTCATCCAATTCTGGTGGCTTTTATCAGTGCGGTGACTTTACAGAAGATCAGCAAGCAAGTCAAATTCTGGTTCACCATCTCGGAGGCCATCCGAAGGTTCTTAGCGTCCAGCTCGCCAAGCTCGTTTCCCTGGAGTCATTCCAAAACCGCCTGGCATACAATAACTTTGCTATGAATCCGCCCATGTCGCCCCCTTTCATTCAGCGCCCTGCATCTCAGCCCAATCAATTCGCACAAGCCTACCTGAATGTGTTTCCCGAGACCCCAACCCACCTGAGCGTTCAGGCGGTCCGTGGTCACAAGCGGCAACGGAGTCGTTCGGTTCCGGTAGCTGTCGACTTTTCTGCAATGCAGGCGCCGCTTGCCCAATACAACTTCTCTCAAGCCCCTGCGCATTTTGGCCAACCAGACACAGGGATCTTTGCCCCTATTCCACAATCCACTCATCCGTTGGCCCTGAATCTGCGTATTGATACATCTGCCGGTTACGGGTTTGATCCACGAACCCACCCCATGTCGGCTACAACTACTGCCTCTCCGTCTGATTTCGCCAGCCCGGGACTTTTCAGTACTGGTGCAGGTGGTGATTCGACCCCCGTTGCTACCAACATGGGAACCCCGTTCACCTTGCCATTTGTCACGCCCGCTGTTGACTCAGCAGTGGCACATCAGACGGCCTCCTATCCTAGTCTTGGTCATGCCGACCCCATGATTGCCAACCATTCGCCACCACTCTCCAACATCTCGCACACATCGCAAGATATGTATGGTCTGAGTAATGAGCACCAAACAAGTTACTCGGACGAGGGGATGGGGATGAATGGAATGTATACCAAGCACAACATGACATTTGGTGTCCCCCAATCCATGGGGCTTGAAAGCAGCGCTTTTGATCTACCCATGCAGTCGATGTCTGGACACACTTCTCCCGGTGTCCAGGGTGAATTCCAGAGTCTGACACTCGAGAGTGTGGATCCTCACACAATGGCGCCCGGCTCTTGAGTCTGGCTGTACGATTTTGGAAAACAGATGTTGGTACTTGAGTTCATCCTTTGCCGTCTTCTTCTGGTTGGCATTCGAATCAATGAGTCTGACTCAACCCGACCCGGACAGTGTCACTCATACCTAGACACAACTCGATTCACCCTTCAGCAGGGCTAACGAATGCCTTTTCAACCTTTTCTCTGAGACCCGAAGTCGAATGAATTCGACGGGAAGGATCCAATCTCCCTTACATTGTATCCTCAGCGTGTCTTTTTCTGTATTTTTATTCTTCTGTGGGGCTGGTCCTGAGCGTTACACAGCGCCTCTTCTTTCCTTCTATCGATCGCACTTGGATGCGCCTTTTTTGATGCTTCTTCACTGCCCCTGACTATTATTTATCCTTTTTTTCTTTTCTCTTCTCACATCCGGTCAGGGGTGCTTAACGTGGTTATGCCAGAAAGTCTGACTAAGACGGCGACAGTGGGTTTATCTTCTATTTGTTTCTTGGGTTGGCGGGTTAGGACATGTTTGCATATTCCTTTTGTGACGGTTATTTGGTGCCTTGAGCGAGGTGATCCTGTCAGATATTATCTACCATCTTCTTCCGACGCGAGGCTGAGACAATCTTCGCCGGGGTATTTAGAGTTCGGCTGATATGAGGACCAGTCCTCAGGGACCACCTGATCATGATAACTCATTCTTCCATGTAGAGGTTATGTAATTCGACTTGCTGACAATTAAAAGGCTATTATACAGGGTATCAAACTCCACCGTATCCAAGTTTACACCCAGTGATACCACCCGCAAACTCAATCATCTCAAAATATCGTACAGCACCAATCCAACACGACTCTCCCACTCCCAAGACTCCCCGTTCCCCACGAAACAAGGAAATCGAAATCATTGCGCAAACCCCTTGGGCACTGGCGCCTGCAACCCGCGATTGACCCGAAGGTACCGCTCCACCCACCTCTCCATGCGCTCCAACACATTGGCCCCCTCCCGTGTTCCGCGGGGATCGATCCCATCCCGACACCAGACACTCCACGCGCCCATCTCGCGCGCCATCAGCACATCGGTGCCCAGCCGATCGCCCACGACGGCGATCTCGTCCGCGCGCGCCACGACCCCGCGCTCCCGGAACCAGGCCAGCACCTCCGCCCCGCAGAAGGGCTTCTTGGCCACTCCCGGCGGCAGCCGGAACACGGGGATGGCGAGCCCCGCCAGCTGCGTCTCCAGGCTGCGGACCTCCTCGTCGTAGCGCGGATGGCTCCCCGCGCGGTTCGACACGATCAGGATCGAGTTGGGCGCCGTGAATGGCGAGGTCGGGGCGGTGCGCAGCGCCGTCAGTTTGGCGAGGATCTCCGGTGGGAAGGTTGTGGTCTGCGCCGCGCAGAGCGTGGCGTCTTTGTCGAGGATGAGGGCGCGGATGTGGATTTTGGGGGGTTTTTCTAGCGGCGTGCTGCTGCTGCTGCTGCTGCTGCTGGCGAGGGAGGCGGAGATCGCGGGGCCGAGGTGTTCGGGGAGCTGGGTGAAGGTGGGAATGTTGAGGTGCGGGAGGATGTGGGAAGGGTTTTTGAGGAGGGTGGTCACGGCTAGGTTGAAGGCGCGGAGGTTACTGTTTGGGGGGTTCATTTTTGTGGGCGTATTTGTGTTTGTGTGGGTTGTGGGATTGGTGATGGTGGTGGTGCTTTGCGAGCTGTGGAGATAGCTAGCTAGCTTGATGAAGCTTTTTTTTTTTTATTTTGTGGCGGAGGAATGCAATTTCGGATGGAGGATTGAGTGGTTATTGGATTATCTTGTGCATTGTAATGTTAGTGGGTAGCTGTTTTGTTTATTGTCTGGGATTAGCTATTAGGTTGCGATAGCATGAAGTTGATAACGAGTATGTAAATGCGCAAGGTGATGATGAATGCGCGGGATGGATAAAAATACTGGCTGGCCGGGGCCAGCGCCCGCAGAGCCGCAAAACTCTCCTCCGCCGCCGAGTCGAGCGGGTGTGGTTGCTCCTCTCCCAGTCAAACAGCGCCAGTTTTGTCCTTTGCAACTATCCCCTCTTCCACCCATTGTCGCAGGACAGATCCTACCAAATCTCGACCGTCGACCTCTATCCGACAAGACTTTCTCTCGAGTTATCGCTCAGTGCTTTTTTCCCCCCGCCGCCAGCTTCTCTCCCACCAGACTTCACAATGGGCAAGTTGACCAGCACGATCGGTATTCCGATCAAGCTCCTGAACGAGGCGCAGGTGGGTGGTTCTTCCTCTTCTTCACTAGTGCATTGCATTATTGAGTGCCTGAGCTAATCATATCTAGGGCCACGTTGTCACGCTCGAAATCACGTCCGGTGTCGTGTACCGCGGAAAACTTCTGGAGGGTGCGTTGTTCTCTCCCCTCGATCTCCTCTCACGAACCAGCCAACGTGCAAGACATCGTCGCTGACTTTTTTATCCTGCTCTAGCCGAAGATAACATGAACGTTCAACTGAAGGATATCACGGTTACCGCCCGCGACGGTCGCGTGTCACACTTGGATCAGGTCTACATCCGGGGAAGCCATGTCAAGTTCTTCATTGTGCCGGACATGTTGAGGTTGGTTTCTCCTCCATCATTCTCGGAGCATTAGCTAATTGGCCGTTTTAGAAACGCCCCCATGTTCCGCTCGCGAGGCCAGCGCGGCCGCGGTGTCGGTCTGGCTCGTGGTAAGGCCACTGTGCAGAGAGCTCGGGGCCAGCGACGGGGCTGAGGATAGAAATGTGTGATTTGATGATGACGTTGGGGAGGGAGGTGGATAATCATTGACTTGGTCGGCGTTTGCTCTTTTTTTCTCTTCTGTTATGGACTGCTGCAACCTTGGATCTGGGTCGGTCGGGGGTTGATTCCATTGAATCGAATATACTACACGAAAATCGAATGACGATTAGCCCCTTGTTCTGGAGAAAATAGATACCTGGTAGCTGTGGGATAAATCGTATACGTCCTGTAGAAGGGGAGGTCGGGATGGTTATTAGGAGCAACCGTCCGCGCGTCGGTTCGATATAACGTTAGCTACGTACTTTGGAGCGGGGATGGGCGCCAATCGATTGCGTTGCCAGGCGGGCGTATATGCAAATGCTCGTAAACAACATTGATGTGGTCCATGGAACCCGAAACGAAGTGCAGAGAGGTAATACGAAGGAAGGCGACTACACTTCCGCGCTGTCTCTTCTCTCCTCCGCCTCCTCCCCGCACCCGCACCACCAGCAACTTTCAGCATCACCACCTTTTTTTTTCTCTGTCTCGTCCACAATCTGCACAAGAACTCGCTTTAGCCTCAACATGGACACCGACAACCCCTCCACCGGCACCAGAAACATCATCCGCAATCCGCGCCGTCTTCTCATCCTTTCGCCCAGCTCGCATTCCACGACCATCGTCCCCCCTCTCCTCCACACTCTCACCGGCGCACCTGTCACCGAGCCACCATCTACAGCTACAACAACTACAACAGCCCCTACAACAGCCCTCTCCTCAACGACAACCCTCGTAGCCTCCTCCGCCGCGTCAACTGCCACCGTAACCTCATCAACAGCCTCCCCAACGACGACGACGATCCCCACCACCAGTTTCGCCGGCTACACCACCCACCCGCCTCTTCCCATCAAGAACCGCTACTACACGGCCGACATCCCCATCTGGGTTGACGAGATTCCCCTCTCAGCAACATCGGAAACCACCACCCCGCTGCTCCCCCCCTCCCCCACACAATGGAAGACCGAATTCTCCGGCCCGGACGCCCAAGTCGTCCGCGACGCCATCGGCGCCGTGATGATCTGCGTCCGCAATCCGGTGGACTACCAACATCATCACCACCCCCATGACGCTTCATCATTTCTGCAGAGTCCAGCATCAACTCCGGGGCCTACGGTTCCCATCACCAACAGAGAGCCAGAGCCGGCAGAAGATCGGGCGGATGTTCGCGAATTGAAGGAGTTCATCCACGCTATTGGGGAAGTGCGGGGCTTGATTGAGGAGGAGAGAGGGGGCATGGGGGCTGGGGAGGTTCCTGGGTTGTTGCTTCTAGTGGATGCTTCGTCCTCTCCTGCTGGTGCTGGCGCGGGCGCTGCCAAGGGGAAGGTGAAGGGAAGTGGTGGTGATGCGAATGGGCTCGATGGTCTGGATGATCATGATAATCTTGATGTTGAAATCGATGAGCCGTTCTCTGTGGGGTGGTGGGAGGATCAATTGTGTGAGATGGGGTTGATGGGGTGGGAGGTTGTGCGGTGGTGTCCCAAGGGGAATGCGGCGGGTGAGGATGATGAGGAGGATGAGGGGAGGAATCGATATGGAGGTTTGTTGTTTCCTTCTTGCCCTTTTTACTCTGCGGGAGTCGGTGGTTCTGAACCAGGACTGACTATTTGTTTCTCTCGGGTTAGAACTGCAAGGTATGCGGCGGGTTAAGGAAGTGCTGGAAACGCATGATTGGAGTGCAGCGGAGGAGACCGCGGGTGTGGAGATGGGATTCGGCAATGATGACGACGACGACCTAGAAAGACGGCTCTTGGGGCTCGACGACGAGGATGCTGACGGGACGGAGGCTGGGTTCAATTTCGAAGTGAATGAGTTGGAGCGCGAGATGGTCGGTCTGCGCATGGCGATCGAGCGCGGAAGCGACGATTACTTTGTCGAGGAGGATGAGGCGGACGAGGAGCTGCGGGTGGATGCGGTGGAGGCGCTGCTGCTGCGGATGCGAGCTATCAAAGGTACGTAGTCTTCTTTTTTTCTTGTTGCTGTGCCATTCCTGGCTAACCGGATCATCAGATATGAGCGACGGGTTACCCAAAACGGAACGGAAGCGATTCGCTGCAAAAGCGGTCCGCGATATCATGAAGGAGTTATAGCATAGCACATATACCATACTCCGAATATATGATATGATATGAGATGAGATGAGATGATGTGGTCAGCGTTGCCTACATATACAGTACATATGATATCTATTCATGAAACCTTAACATACACATCATCCCAAACCTACCTAGGTAGTCTAACATGCAACGCCACCCACTTTCTGTGCTGTTGCACAACAGTACGGCGCAGCGCCGCCTTATTCTCGTGAAACCACTTGATACATGCAGTGTACAGTCCTCCGTACGGTACTCTCCGGCAAATCTCGGTGTCCCCCCCAAACAGACCAACCCACACCACACCACAACCACACCACAACCACACCACAACCAACCCATTAATTCTTCTTCAACGCCTTGCGTCTCTGAGCAATCATATGCGTGTAGAGAATATACGAGCCTGTTTATTTCGGATCCACAATTAGCATCACCCTCACCTATCACCCATCACCCATCACCCATTCCCCATCCCCCCTTAGACCCAAGGATAAGGAAGAACATACCAGGCACATAAACCCCCAGCACGACCACCAAAAACCACCAATACGCGGAACTTACCTCGTCCGCCGCCGGCGCCAACGCCTGCACGACCATCACACACTCACTACTGATGCCCAACGGATACAGCACGTAGAACGTATTGTAGCGCAGCCACGCCCACCACCCTGGCACCCCGAGCCCGGACACCTGGCAGACGAAGAACCCGTACCGGATGCACTCGGTGACGCCCCAGGCGGTCAGGCAGCCCAGGAACGCGTAGTCGCCGGTCTGCGTGACCGCAGTCGCGGTGCCGCCGACGATCCGCCCCTGGAAGGGATACATGATCCCCCAGACCAGGAGGATGCGGCTGGCGACCTGCATCACGGTGGTGGTGACGGGCGCGCGCACGAGGCCCGCTAGGCTGTGCAGGATCTCGAGGAGGGCGAGGGACTGCGTGATGAGTAGGAGCGGGTAGACTTTCTGGAAGATGAGGGGCAGCGGGGTGCCGGTTGCGAGGTGGGTGAGGCCCTGGACGGTGCAGGTGGCCCAGAGGGTGAAGTTGAGGGCGTTGTAGAGGATGAGGTAGGGTTTCGTGAGTGGGTAGGCGGGAGACCTAGAGGTTGTGGTTGCCCTGGGAGGGGGCTTGGCGGTGGTGCTGGTTGACATCGTTTTTTTTTGTTTGCTGTTGGTGAAGGTCAATTAGTGGCTGTGAAGGTGTTCTGGTGAGAAGGGATGATAAAATCAGGAGTGGGGGAGGGGGCTGTTTTTTTTTTTCTTTGGAAATGAGATGTGCGATTAATGAACGGAATGGAGAACTGACATCCAGTTGAAAGGTCGAGGTAAGACTGTAGGTTGGGAATCGGACGGCCGAAGTATTTAGATCGCTGGCCTCCGGGATTCTGGCCAGGATTTGCTGGTATTGAACAAGGGCTGAAAAGGGCTGAAGCAAGTCTGCGATGACAGCCTTCTTGGCTCTAAGTTACTGTGGACTGTGTAGACTGGAAGAAATGATTACAGTTGGATCTGTTGATCTGTTGGGAGCGTTGAGCCGAGGTTGAGTTAGGTAATCACCCTTCCCCGGATTTTCCAATCCAGACTGAATGAACCCTTCCCGTGGATTGCAACCAGTCTGCCAAACACCCAGACAGCATAACGCTTGATGCAATGCAGATGCTGCTACAAGCATGTTCTCTACATCCAGCCCTCGTACCGAATTCTCCTGGTAACATGACTTCATATAAATTGCAGTTTTTTTTATAAGCTGGTGACATGAATCAAAACTCAGCATGCTTGCACGTTTTCCCTTGAGGCATGGATGGATCTTGGCGGTCCGCCTCCCAACTGCTCTCGATATTCCCGATCATAACCAAAAAAAATCAAAATTGAAATCAAAATCAAAACAAATTCTTCCTATAACAGACACTCCAACATACTCGCTAATCAAGGACTCCAGATGCAACCCGTGGCGTCGTAATGGGAGAACTAGCCTCCAGCATCAGTCGCACCGTAGCTGTATCCGTCATCCGCTGCTAAACAGTTCGTGACCGTACAATATCATGACATTCGTGATCCTCATCATCGCTATTGCAAATATGGTGCGAGAAAGGTATACCACTGAGAAGGAAAGGGTGGGATAAAAGCAAGGGCAAATGCTTCCTAGAACCGGCAGAGTCGGTACTCGTCTCCCCTGCTGGAGGAAAACTCAAACAACAAAGAAAAAGCATCATGATGACAACGGCGGAAAGGTACGAGCGAACAGAGCGATGCGATCGCTAATTGCTGTGCTGTCAGTGTCATAATCATCAATGCCGGCATATATCATCGTTTCGTATCGTGTCTTCCGTCATTTTCAGAGCCGTAACACGTCATCTAATTCGCACGAATTACAAGTCTTGAAACAAATTTGTTCGACAAACAATCGAAGTCGTTGCGGTTGAACTTGGTACTGGACCGGCCACGAAGATAGCTCTCTGTTTTTGGACGTTAGTCAACCGGCCAGACGAAAGAGCGCAAGAAGAACATACCAAACTGGGTCACGTGCTGGCGGACCTCAGTCATCGTGGTACAGACATCAGGGTTCGAGTGCAGCAGGTGGTGATGTTTCGTGGTCTCCCAGTCCGTGAAGGCGGGAAGCTTCTGTGAGATCGCCTGGAATAGGCCAACAATGACGCCAACAGGGGTGGTCTCCATATCGTGGCAGAATTTCTCCACCGCAGCAGGTTCCTAAGCGGGGGTCAGTTTCTGTTTCCATCTAATTCAAGTTCAAGACTACTCACTGGAGTACGGTAGTGGCAGTCAAATTGCATTTCCTCCCAGACTGCGAGAAGGATTGAGGCCAGGATGAAGATGGTGGGCCAGTTCTTCAACTTGTCGCCGCTGTAGACGCTGGAGTAGAGGCTTGATAGCTCCTCCAGCACATCCTTCTGCAACTCGCGCCACATGTTGGCCATGGCACACTTGATCTGAAAATTGATCATGACTGGGGCCATCGTCTTGCCCTTGAACCGCGATGATGATGAATCGATCTTCCCAGGCATGCATTGCTCCTCACCTAGACCTTCAACCATAGTCACGTGCAGCGTCAGATTATAGGCAATGATGAGCTTCAAGGCCTTGCGAATGACCGGCAGCTTGGTGCGGTAATAATAGCGGAAAGCGGTCTTCAGCATCTGGGTCAAGAAAGGCGTGCCCTCGAAGTAGTCGTCGACAAACTTCTCAAAGGTACCGTTGCCATCAATGTGGCGATCGAGATATTCGGAAAGCATAGCGTGGGAGATACCCTCCATCCCAGCAGACAACTTGGCAGTTTCAACCTCGAACTGAGTAGGCTCGCGATGCATGGTCTCAACCCAGTCAACGCTGAAGCATTGCTCGTCTCGCACATACACCTCACGAGCGTTGATCGGAAGAATCTGACCATATCCGTGAGTAATAAAGAGGGTCGTCTCGTGTTCCGAGAAACCCTTGATGTTCCCAACCGAGAATCCGAGGGAGATGTGGCGCTCATAGTCTGCTTTCCAGTCCTTCATGAAGTAGCCAATTTCCTTGATGTCAATGCGGGTGCACGGAACCTGCCACAGGCGAGCATGCGACGGTTGACAGCCGGCGCAAGGTTCACCTTTGTCACACTGGTAGTAATCATGTTAGCAAGCACAAACCATACCCGTTAAGATTGTGATGAGCCTTACAGTCTTCTTGAGAAACTTGCAACGCAGGCAAGCTCTCAGTTTCCGTATCTCGCTGGCCTGCTTCCGCTGGTCGGGCTTGAGCGGACCCTTGCGCTTGCCAATTCGCTTCTCGGTGGTCTCCGGCTTTCCATTCTGCGTTTGCTTCCGGACCTTGGTCTCGGCAGTCTTCGCAGCAATCGGGCTCTTGCGAGAAGGCTTCCTGCTCGGGGGTGAAGCAGAAGATGACTGCGAGGCGGCTGATCGGGGAGAGGTCGGCTTCTTCGAAGGCACCGGAACGGGTCGTACGATGTTCACAGGGCTGACTGCCGTGGGGGACACTGAGCCGTGCGAAGTGTGGTCGTAGGATACACGCCGGGTCAAGCTGTTGTTGAAAGCCGCATCGAAGTTGGTGTCAGAGCCAGGAGAGTTGATCGGATTGGTGATCTCAACAAAACTGCCGTAAGACGTCGAGTAGGACGATTCCGACAAGCTCCTGTCGTGTAGCGTCTGCGTAGGATTGATGAAGAACTGATCTGGATAGGTGAACTCGTGAGGGCGCCGGGTCTCTATGGTATTCCAACCGTTGTCGCTGCTTGAACTGGTGAGAGACCGGACCTCCAGATAAGTGTCGGTCGGTGAGCTGCTCTCAATCAGATTGTGCGGCGCCGCATAGGAGGTCATATCCGGAAGACCATGGGGGGCCGTGAAACCCATGAGGTCGGCCTGGAAGTCTTGATAGGGAAATGGGACCATCTCCACTGGAGCGGACAGTGACAAGTAGGGCCCATCCAACAGGCTCGTGCTCATATGGTCATGGGTTGGGGGCATCAGATCCACGGGTGAAGAGTGGAGGGGCATGCCATAGCTGGCGGTAGCGTACTGAGGGGCGGACGACGCTTCCTCTTGAGTGTACTGAAGGTGGGGTTGCAAATGCTGCCCGTGAAATTGCCAGTCAACGATCAAGTTAGGGTCTTGGACTACCGACTGATCATAGGCGTGACCGCTGGTTTGTAAGGGCGAGATATCTCGCGATCCATCGGGTCTCTGGGAGGGATGGTGATCCACTGCCACGGGCCATGGCGTCGCCTGGAGATAGTTCCTAGAGTCGTAGTCTAGGCCAATGAAGCCGTCACTGGATAAATCGACGTTGGACATCGTGACCGCCGAGACTATTTACCAAGAAAGAGAGGGAATAAAGGAAAGGAGGGCATCAAACAGATTTCGTTAAGAGGGAGACTTAGTCAAAGAAGCAAAGGAAAGAAAGAGTAAGGAAAACCGGAACAAGCAAGAGGATAAGGAAAAGGAAACGTAAAGAGGAGGAGAATGAGGTGACAGGAGACCAAGCGATAGACGGAGGGGGGGGGGAAGAGGGGATGGATGAATGGATGGAGAAAGCAAGACACACAGATAGTAGTTAAGATAGAGAGACACAGAGGAGATACACACGCACACACACGCACACATACAGAGAGAGAGAGACACACACAAACAGTTGTGGGTGGTACAAAAAACAAATAAGAAGGAGAAGAAAGAAAAAGAAGTGGATGATGGGAGGAACAGCAGCAGCAGCAACAACAGCAAGCAGGGCGAGATGAGCCTGAGGAAGAGAAAAGCCCAGAATCAGAATCCGGGGGATGCAAAAGACAATCAAATGAGCCCGAGTAAAAGAAACCGAAGGCGGGCGGGCGGATAGCATGAGGCCATGGCTTTTGAGACTTAGAGAATTAGAGAATTACTGATAGTAGTCTAGTCGATTTTACCAGGCTACTCAGACGGGACTAAACAGGTGGGGATGGGATGAAAAGCCGTGGTGATGATTGAAAGGGAAAAGCAGTGGGAAGTGGAAGTGGAACTAAGCAGCAGCACTAAACAGCAAGTTGAAGCACACACACAGACACAACAAAGCAGCGGTGAGGCGGGAGTTGCGAGAGTTGCAAGAAGTTGCATCGGCCGGAGAATACGCTAGGGAGTCCTGGGAAGGAGGCTTCATCCCCAACCCGGTTTAGTCGGAGTAATTACCACGTCCTTCTTTGCTTGCTGCCTTTTCTTATGAATATTTCTTTTTTTTTTTCTTTTACTTCCTTTTTTAAAACATTTCTTTTTCTCACTTGCCTTTTTATCATTTCGCTTTTCTCCCCTTGTCCCTTCTCATCAATTTCTTTTCTCTGTGGAATGGAAAATGTCAGAAGATGATGACGAGTTTGGCACCACGTCTCATCTCCCGTTGTCTCCATTGGCGTGCTCACGCCGGCTACGATGACCCTGAAGGGCCTAGTCTCCCTACCCACTTGGCACTCTATACTTGTCTTCTTGTTACTTACATACAGTAGTCGGCTTTTCAAGACCAGACTGGGTAATCAGTTGGGTCCCCATCTGGAACTTACTGTTTAAACCCTTTCCCGATCAACAAAAGCAAGAAAGAAACTTCAGTTGGATCCGGTTCGGCATCACCGTAGATTCGCCAGTTTGACGAGTCTCATGATTATCCTTCCCAATCGCCTCTGGGCCAGCGAAAACTTACGGTAGACGATTTGCAAAAGCACACCGGTAGGCTTGGAGAAGCACCAGATGCTAGTCGGATTGATGGTGGAAGGGCAGTAACTTACTAGTCGAACACAGACATGCACCGGCTGCATTGTATCTCGTTGGCGCAGCACCACTTCCGACGAAAATCGCAGTGACTTGATTTGCCCACCTGACAATGAGTTGCGTGCAGGGTTGCACTACGGAGTACTTAGGGAAAGGCTTAATATCTAATTATCTAGGTACCCAGCCCCAAAACTACTGCTACCACCATCATGGACATCATCAACAATGATGGATGGATGAATGTACAGCAAGTACTGAACCATGGACTCTGGAGGCTCAAAACTGACCACGGTACGAGACGGAATTTTCCGTTGGCGAGACACGGGAGCAACATTCGGGACAGGAAGATCAGTGGAAACCGGCCAGATCGGTTGGGAGGGGCCTCTATTGACTAAGGCAACACGATTATTGGCATGATGGGGCAGCTCCGATCTGCTCGGTCGTGGCAATAATAGTCCTCAGATGGGCCGTTGTTCGGAATTGGCCCCGCAGCCACTTCCTTAGCACTACAGGAAGGTCGTCACTTACTCACTTGTAGACAGGGCACAGGCGCACTCCGCGCCGCTGTTCAACATAGCCACCTCGCGGATGTATGTGCTGTATGTATAGTATGTACACAGTACTGCGTACTGTACTATGTATTTTCCATCGATGATTCCATAGCAGGTGATTTCACGGAAAGGAAATGAAAACCCTGCAGCGCAACACAATCGATGACTGAAACCTACCATTTCCCACCTCTCCTCCGTACCTACAGGAATCAATACACTGCCTACCGCTTGAATGGGTGTATAGGAATACTCAGCACTTCCCCGGGACCTGGTCATAGTACATTAGCCCTCACCTAGTCCCCGAGCCAGGTAGATCATGGGCCTCATCCAATAAAACCTAGCTGTCCTGGTCAATCAACAGTGCACACATGTTGGCTCCGTTGCCAACAAGGTGGCTGACTGTACATGAGCTCCAATCACCATGACCATCTGATAGCATTTCTGCCCTCATTCGCGGCTAGGGATTTCAGGGCACAGAACAGACAAAGAAGTCTTCTCTGCATCGGTCCCCTGATGAGATTGAGGAAAGAGCATGATGAAGACCGTAATAATGATAATAATATTGACTATGGCAGTCGAAACTTCATCCACTCGTCTCCCATCCACCCCCATCGGAAGCTTCGACATACTGTATGATCTTGTGCACAACCGTTAGGCATATGCGATCTTGCGCTGCGTTGGTACGATCTGCCTACTCTACCAGACTGTATGTACATCTGTGCTGTCAGGGTGTGCTCGACGCTTCACGCTGGGTACGTATTTCTCCATACTGTAACTTTCTTGCTGCCTTCGGCCCATCCAGCATTGATTGTCCAGCCAAAAAAAAATATCAAGGGAGAGAATCCCATAGCCGCCGCATCTAATAGCTCATTTTCGTCGATTCGAAGCCCCAAAATGACCTGTCCAAAATTGATTCTCAACAAACTTGTAAGACCAGGCCAGCATCTTTCACGGGACCGTGTGCGCAAAGTCAAATCGGTCTTGGCCGAAGCCCTGGGGACTAGTCATGTATGTCTATCCACTAGAACCGACCTACAAAGTCTCTCCCTACAGCAGGTGGTACCGAGCCAGGCGAAAGGAAACGCTCTGCATAGGCGGGTATGGAAGGAAAGACAAGGCCCGTGGGCTCCACTCCCCGGGGACGCCTCGACAAATCGATATGCCAGCTATGAAACAATCAGCATCATCGAGTTTTTGACTCGCAGCTTTGCCACGCCAGCGGCTTCACGCAAGAAACTTCTCCAACGCGGTGTCGCGTCGGCAGCCAGCGATTTGCGAGCGATGCGCCCGCCAATTTGACGGCGATGGGCGCTTAAAGAGGCAACCACTGAATTTTATAATTAGCACATCCACAACCTTAGCTCGGATTTGGTGGTGTTAGGCTAGATCCAGAGGGAGACCGATGATGGATTTCCTAGTCAGATGGTCAGTGCTTGAGGGCCTTTTGTTAAGTTACTAGTTAGTAGTCATCGGCAGAAGTCGAGACAGCAGCGATCGATTAACTTTAAATCCTATCCGAGTCAATCCCCCAAGCATACGACCGAATCGAGTGCTCATGATTCTGTTGGTTTCAGTATACCTGCCAGCCGGATGACTTTCAAGCACTTTCAAGCATAAGAGACGGGCCCAATCGCGGCTGCAGTCGTGAGCCTCCATCAGATTGGTTGAGATACGACGGTCTTCGTATTGTACTTGAGTAAATATATATGCTAGCAGGGGATTCATTCAAAGTATTCCCTCCGTACTGTGCAGTACTTAAGTAGCTAGAATTAAGAACCAGGCCGGAATGCTCGCTAGCCTCTCTCGGCCAACCGAGATGAAGATCCATTCCACATCCGCGATGGCTGGAAGACATGGAAGACATGGAACGAAAAGATAGGGGTGGGTGAGCGGAACGTGTCAGTTGAGCCAGTGGCTCAGTGGTCTTGACAGTGATATTACACTATCTTTTCCCAGCCATGAGCTCGATCAAATGAAAGAAAACAGATGACTCTAAGTAATTCACGCGAAAGGCTCTCAGAGGCCAGAAGGAAACAAAACGAACACAACAAAGAAGATGTACAGAGGCGAAGGGCTGAACTGCGCACTTGGCTTGTTTCCCCCACTCGACCAAACTGGGGCCTGAGGGGTCAATCGCCCGCCATGGCAACCCCACTACCACCTGACCAGAAAAGAACAATGGTTTTCCTGAATGGCGATAACAGAGCTCATCCATTGGCAAGGGAAAGAACAATTCAAAGCTATCGGGAGCTGGATCAATTGCCCATTTACTTGAGTCTACTTGAGACAAAGAATTAGAACATTAGAAAAGCTCATATAAGTGCCCAAATCGGCCTGGTCAAGCTTCCCATGCCGATCGTGATCGCGGCTTCAGGGAGACAGCGGCGCAAAGTTCGTTTTACTACGGCCAACCAAGCACCGCAGCCAGGAAACACGCAAAACCACCCCATCCGGCCTAAGGTCTCAACAAGTGGTCGTCTGTCTGCTGCGACTACGACGACTTCTACTGACTCTCAATCATTGCCGAGATCCAACGACGAAATGTGCGAGCCACAAGTGCAACCCGGGGTGCCAGATCTCTTCACCGCGCCGCCTCTGCTCCTAGATGCTTTGGTTACGGAAACTTCCGAGGTCCAAGCGGAAACGGTCAACAAATGTCTGCCTTTCTTGAAGGGCATCCACAGCACCCAGAATGGTCCTTTCAATCGGTTTGGCGTGCCCGCCCTCATGAGGGATGAGCATGTAGCCTATTTGTTCGACTCCCTCGAGGACTATCCAGAGGGGTTCGTTGCCATGGATGCCAGTCGGCCCTGGCTGGTCTACTGGGCACTGGCGGCTTTGAGCCTTCTAGGTGAGGATATCAGTAGAGTCCGCGAACGGTGAGCAGAACGCTTGTGCCCCCCTTATCTCCAGTCCTGTTTGGGGCTCGTGTGCTTTGTTGCAGATGCCGAATGGATCTTGGCCGAGTCCGGGGCAGATCCGTTGCCCAATAGTTTGAGCGCCTACTGAGACTCACGGTTCTTGCTTTAGTGTTGTCAAATCATTCATACCCATGCAAAACCCGGCGGGGGGCTTTGGAGGTGGCCATGGCCAATTGTCCCACTGCGCTTCGAGCTATGCTGCTGTGCTTTCCCTTGCGATGATCGGAGGCGAAGAGGCATACAACTTAATCGATAGGGAGAAGATGTGCGTTGTCGAGCTCCTAACCCCCTACTTAGTCACTGGTCTATGCTGCTGACCTGGACTTAGGTGGAGATGGCTTGGGAGACTGAAGCAGCCCGATGGGGGCTTTAGAGTCTGCGAAGGTGGGGAAGAAGATGTGCGGTAAAACGCCCCCCAGCACCTAGATCTCTCCTTTTGCGTACATGCCATGCCGTACTGACTGCCAGCTCAGCGGCGCTTACTGCGCGATGGTCATCATATCACTACTAGATTTGCCACTTATCCTACCCCCGGAAGCCGAAGCCAGACAACATGGTCTGGAGACGTTTGATAGTGGCCTCTCCGCATACCTCTCTCGATGTCAGTGCTGTCTTCCTTGAGCTGACTGCGCTAGGCTGATCCCGAACTCTAGGTCAAACATTCGAAGGTGGGATTTCCGGAAGTCCCGGGTCGGAGGCACATGGCGCCTATGCATTCTGTGCTTTGGCATGTCTGTGCATCCTAGGCCAACCCGAAGTGACTGTGGCGAGGTTAGCAGCGTTTGCTTTTCGCTCCTCTTCACTCTGAGTGCGGCTAATGGTGTCAGGTGCATGGATGTCCCTCTCCTCCTGTCCTGGCTCTCTGCTCGACAGTATGCCCCTGAAGGCGGCTTTTCGGGCAGAACCAATAAGCTGGTTGACGGATGCTACAGCCACTGGGTTGGATCTTGCTGGCCATTGATCCAATCCGCGCTCGACGGAGCTCAGCCGGCTGCAGGCCCCAAACAGAGCTCTGTGGGCAACCTCTACAGTCGGGAAGGCTTGACCCGATATATCCTTGGATGTTGTCAGGCCAAGTTCGGGGGTCTTCGTGATAAGCCTGGAAAGTACGAGCTACCTCCGCAAATTGTTGTCAACGGCGCCTCTGCTGACTAAGAGATATGAAGACATGTAGATTCGTATCATACCTGCTATACCCTTGCGGGTCTAAGCACTACACAGCATTATCACTACCATACAAATCGCAGTGTCTCCAGCAAGGAAGACTTTGCGTCAGCTTTCTCATGGAAATACACTTCTCCAGTCACTTCTGACGGCGGTTCAGCTGATGTGAATGTGTTTGACGAGAACGACAAGGTTGCAGCTCTTCATCCGCTTTTTGTGATTCCTCATGCGGCTGCGGAAGGAATGCGCCTGTGGTGTGAGAGGCAACCAGTAAATGTGAATTAGCCAGCCTGGGCCTTGGGGAAATTGTTGGTTAATCAAGCGGGGAGATGGGAGCGAGTGTCTGTCAGTTAGTCAGGGTGAATCTCACTTGTACAGTACAATATACATGCACGCAAGAATCAGCTTAAGATTAAGGAATCTGTGTGACCGCTGAGGTAAACGGGAGGGTGTATCCAGAAGGAGGTGCCCTTGAGCAGCCACGCGGGCTGACAGACGAAAATGAAATGGCCGTGAGGATGGACTCCTGCTGATGGTCGCACGAACTGTTCCGGTTAGCTTGACAAGGACTCGACTTCAGTTTCTGTACCACCTGAGCTGCCCTGCAGTACTGCTTTTCTCCTTGTGCATACGGTCCATCTAGTTCATTCTAGCCTTTCTGGGCGGTTTCCAGACCAGCCCCTCCTCTACCCCTCCATTACTCATCCTCTCCGTTGGGTGAGAGCCTCCCTCCTCTTTCCCACTTCCCCCTGGCTAATTTACAGTTTGAAGCGCCAACAGGAAGCGAAAAGAAGACAGACACCTCACTCCAGGAGCTTGGGCTCAAAGGACGGCTAGCAAGCAGACACCTCTCGAAGATGCAACTCAAACGGAGCAAAGCATTCTTCACTCGCAGATCGCAGAATTGCAACGCCCGGGGCAGCCAGCGGCCGACTTACACCATGCACAGACAGACTTGCTGCAGCTCGCCTATCCGTCAAATCCAAAAGAGGGGGAAAGATGGGGGAGAGGGCGCTCAAGAAGGAGGGGGGCAAAAGGTCAGTAAGAATCAATTTCTCCGGGGTGGCGCTGAATAAGAAGGAATCTGCTCATGTTACTCTGCAAGGTTGACCTCCCTCTCTTTGCCCCTCGTGTCAAAGTGGCATGGATTCCTTCTCCCCCTCCCCCGGCGCACGAAGCGTCATTGCCAACTCATCAGTGCATCCGCCATGCCTACCTGTCAGTCAACGGCCACAACGGAGGAAAAAGCGGGCTGGACCAATCCTGTGCTTGCTCTCCTGTGTGGCCAATCTTCGGAGTAGATCCTATCCGGAATCTAGTCACGCAGCAGTTGATACATCGAAAGTGGTGTGCTCCTTAACCGCCCCTGGTGATGATGATGATGTTGTTGTTGTTGTTGTTCGATTCCACTCCGGACCGTGGGGTCAGTCGTATCTGCTATCAATCAGGTTGACTCTGGATTGGCTCCGGGAGAGCGGTCAACTTACACTAAGCGGGCTACGGAATTCGGATGGCTTACCGAGTCGTTAAGAATCGTGATCGTCTACTAGTATTGACCCGGGCGAAGGAGAGGGGGGCCCAAAAGGAAAAAGGGCCCGCTACTCAGTCCAATCCTGGGCTACAGTGTTGTTTCCTCGCCAGTGATCATCCATCCATCGCCCTTCTTCTTCCCCTCTCCATGCACAATGAAATTACGGCTTCCTTCTGGGCATTCTATGCCAGGATTCATCTGCGCGACATGAACCCCTTGTTTTGAAGCATCATTTTGCATTAGCCGGATTCCACCGCACCTCCTTTCTCGTGGTTTCTTTCTCCCGTGCTTCCATTTACCTTCGTTATTACTTGCTCGACCGGGCCACAATTGTGGATTCGCAATGCGGGGTTCGAGGGGCCATCGCTCCCACCAGAAATCAATGATGTGAATCTGGTATGGGGAGGAACCTTGATCAATAATCCAGGGAAGCACTGTGACCCTAAACACAAGGGGGCAGAGGAAAAGAGCCGCGCTTACTACAGCAATGGACCACTCTAAGGTATGCCCAGAGAAACCAGTCCATGTTCTGCAGCAAAATAGATGAAGGCCGAGACGACCGATTTGCTCGGGCGTTCAAGAACCTGAACAACATCTCCATCGTAGCCGCCTAGATCGGCGGCGAATTATACGGTGGCCGATGGGCCAGGACGTCCTGGATCTTTTCATTTCGGTCCACTGGTGAAAAATCATGCCAGCACATCAGCGCTTGCCATATTCTGTTCTCCGAGCAGAACGGCAACGCAACGGACAAAGCTAGTGTGAGGTCTAGGACAATTCTCAAAGGCATGGCATTCGTCTGCTGCTTTCCCCCTCGGTCAACCTGGTGGAGAATGGTCCAATTGAACCAGTTGCGAGCCACTTCCTTTATTTTAATTCTATTCACCTTACCGGGTTTTTGTTATTTTGGAACAAATCATGTCTTTTTTTGAAGATTTTTTTTTTGCCTCTTTTCTAACCATTGTGGCCGTTCCTCAATGACTTTTGCTGGTTTCTCTATCTGAGAGAGACTATGAAATAATAATATTGATTAAAAGCTTTGAGGGCTGCTCCAGATGCCCCACCTCTTTCTTTGTGCGAATACCTGGGCGGTCATGAAAGATATTCCCCTCGACTCGCTTTTCATTTTCCCCCTCCTGCCTTCCCCCAGTGTAGGGCACGCTGTGTTTGCCTCGTTCCTGGCCGCTAGTTTTATTTTCCCTTGCGGTTTTCGTCCTTTGGTTTGAATTGGTCTCTTCATTCTTTGCGCTGGGCCTTTCTTGACCCAATCTTCTCACACCCGGTGACGGGCCTTGTTGCTGGCTATTGTAAGATATAGCAAGTCACATTGGCCGTTCTATGAAGACCGCGGTCATTGGGCACCAATCGACACCGTTCACATAGGGTCATCCCAATGCCATCGGTGTGACCGCCAGGATCTTGTGCAGTATCAATCGATCTGAGGCAGCGAATACTGAACCAATCCTGGCCTGAACCATACGACCTATTAGACCTGGACAGGTTCCCGCGATGTACTATATCCTCTATCTTGCCAGTATGTAGATACTCTTTTTGCAATTCGTCGAACAACGTCTTTTCCGGTCCCTTTGTGCCTTTTATGATTGGATCCGAAGAGTCACCGCTTCGGATGACCCTCGCTGTGCTTCCCCATGGATGGCTGTTGTGATGGTGGTCATTTTGCCTCCCCTGGAGCACTACTGCCATGCACGCCATGAAGGACAAAGGTTCCAGCAGACCGTGGCTAGTGAGGGCTTGGTTCCTACTTCTCGCAGCTATGATTTGCTCCCTTTTGGAAATCCAAGGGGTGGCAGGGACCTTTTTTTCCGCCGTCTTCCTTTTTGCTCATCGATTTCCCACACGTTCAACATCCAATAACCATGTGTACAGGTCTCTGCCGACGGCGCCGCTGGCCGGAACCTCTCTACGAATCATATAGCGGCGCTACCGGGTATACGTGCATTGTCCGAGTCAACAATCGCGAGTACCAGACGGACGCCGTCTATGAGTCGGACACCCTGGCTCGGGAAAATGCAGCGATGCGGGCCTACCTGATTTGCCGCAACTTTTCCGTCAACGACGGCATGTACCCTGCCGGGTACGACCACGGCGGTGTCATCCAGGGCATTCCGGTCGCTATTGGCACCGGACGCAAAGTCCGGTATGGGGTGGACGACGCGGACACCTCGACCAGTGGAGAGAGCCGAAGCAGTGGCGGCAGCAGCAGCCCGGAGAGCTATGGAGGGGATTGCGATCGGCAAGCGGCAATGAGCCCGTCTCGAGCGTTGACGTTTAGTCGGTAGGTTGCTTCTCGAGTGAGAAGCGAGGGAGCGAGGGGATTGATGAGATGAGGCGGGGGAAGCTGAGGTCTAGGCGCACACTGGCCGTGCCGATACCAAGTAATAAGCTTGTTCGTGCCTTGGCTTAACTTACAAGAGTTAAGTCAGAGGGACAAGATGAGATGAGATGGAGATCGGCTTGGCTTTTGATGACGATGACTTTATGATTTTATGACAACGAACCCGGATATCCGATAGATCAAAGCGTCTTCTTTTTTTGGTTTTGGCTTTGTTCTGTTTTTACCCCCCATCTGATGAATGTGGTGCATGCTCGTTTCCTTCCCAAGGTGGAGGAATGGATTGAACTTCGTCTGCGGGTGGGATCACACAGGAATCACCGCGGATGGATGAATGTGTATGTTCTGGAGGGTTGCATTGGGGTGGCCAGCGGTGTCTTTTTCTGGAGGTGGCGGTGTGCATTTGTCTGACTGTCTGACTGCAGGTGAATGTGATGTCTCACGAATTGCTTGTGCACTCATTGCTATTGTTAGGTGTGTGTGCAGGTATGTATGTATGTACAGTACATACAGTGGTGATTTGTCTTTCTTTCCGAAGCCCAGGGTCTTTTCGAATTGAGTATGATATGAAACCATGGTCAGATCTACTTAGTATGTTCCTTCACCGGTTGTTTGTTGGTGTATGAAGCCTTGCAGCCTGAGGCAGCAGCCTCACTGCCACAGCCGCTGACACATCATGACGTAGGGAAGGTGCAGTGGTGTCTCCAGTTGTCCAAGGCAGGAAGGCGCAACTGACGATCCACGTAATGGCCGAAGAGTGACAGCATCACCCTTTCATTACCTTGTGCCCATTACCAGCACAACCCCAGCCAAAACACGAATGATGATATCAATCAACTCCTCATCCACATCCCGGTCGAAGGATCCCCCCTTCTTCTTCCTCTTGCTTGTGAAAAAGCTTGTCTTTGTGTGAATTCCAGAATTCCAGGATCTCCCCCAACACTACCAACTCCTCCCATTGTTCTCCCCGAGTATATGCCTCTTGTCAATTGCCGCCCTTAAAAAGCCTCACCGCAACATGCGGCGGTCGATACTAGGTCGGATTCCGTCCATTCCCTCTCGTCAACTACTACTACAACAACAATGGGGGAGTAGTCGCCCCGACCTGTCCGGCTTCCCTGCTGCGCCGTCAATAGGACTTTTTACGGTACCAGCGGGCGACCCAGGGCGGCGACAGTTCCAGACCGCAGCGCCGCGGCGGGCGCACTACAACACGAGCACGAGTGCTGGAGTGCTTGCTGCCCCGACGGCGGGGCAAACCCGGTGGTTCAGCAGCCTCGACGCTCGTCTACAACAGTCCAAAGGTCCGAAGCAAGAACTCGAGCGGTTGGAGATCAAGGATGCGAAGCCGGAGGAGGACGAGGAAGGCGTTTGTTCGTCCCAGGCCCCGAAGGGTGGTGAGGACAAACTTGGCCAGGCGATGACAAAGGGTGTGTATACCAGACTTTTTCCCTGGGAACCTTTTCTATACCTCGTGTCTCTTGTCTTACGCTTTTTGGATGCGAACTAAAACATTCGCACGCACCCAGGTAAACTGTTGACGACGCCGTCAAGATTGTTTAAGCTGCTTCTCCCGTTGTCGACCAAATACCACCGTGATCATAAGGGTAAGTTAGATCTCGATGAAAAAAATCTCCCTTTGTTTGTGGTGTATGGAAAAAAGGCCATGCTGACCTCTATCTGTGCGCGCAAAAAAGACATCGAACCAATCGCGTTCCTCATCCACCCTCAGCAACCTCTTTCGCACCTGGAACGCCTCATCCAAGCCGAGATCCCGCCCATCAAGACGAAGGACGGACAAGCTCGCGCCCCGTCCGTCTCCTTCATCGCGCTCCAGCTCGAGGACAACCCGATCCGGCCGCGGAAAGCCCTCTACGAGGGGACCGAGGCAGAGGTGCGCAAGTTGGAGGAACTCGGGCAGGTCAAAGAGGAGAAGAAGCCCTCGGACGACGACACCTACACGTACCTGCGCCGCAGCGAGCCCGGCGGCGGCAAGAAGTCCATGGAGCATCGCTTCGTGCGGTGGTCGCAGTCCACCGAGGTGGGCGACTTCATCCGCGATGCCGCGCGCGCGCGGGAGTTCGTCGTCTCGGTCGAAGGCGCGCCGGCGGGTCAGCACCAGATCCACGTGGCGGTGCCCTCGTTCAACGAGCGCACGCATTTCCTGCGCATGCGGCTGCGGAAGATCTCCGACCGCATCAAGAACATCGCGGACATCAAGCATGAATGTGATGCATTGGCGCACCGCGGGGCCCAGCGCGTGGCCATGGGCGGATTCGGCGTGCTGGCGTTCTGGTGGTGTCTGGTGTACAAACTCACCTTCGAGACCGACCTGGGCTGGGACACGATGGAGCCCGTCACCTACCTGGTCAGTTTGTCCACGCTGATGGGTGGTTATCTGTGGTTCCTCTACCACAACCGGGAAATCTCGTACCGGTCTGCCCTCGACTTCACCATCAATGCGCGCCAGAAGAAGCTCTACGAGAGGAAAGGGGTAGATTTGCAGTTGTGGGAGTCGCTGATCGATGAGGGCAATTCGCTCCGCAAGGAGATCAAGTCGATTGCGGCCGAGTACGACGAGGACTGGGACGAGCTGAAGGATGAGCGTGACCAGCGCGTGACGGAAGCTTTGAAGCAGGAGCGCGCTCAGAAGAACGGCTCTCGACAGAATGACAATGATACAGACGATTAAATCGATTGGCAGGGGAATTCGAAACATCTTTTCTAGACTACCGCTCTCCTCGTCTTTCGAACCTGATCATCTCTTCCAACTTATCGCTCACTCTGCATCACTTTCGCTAACGGATCAGCATCAACCTTGAGCACTTTCACCCGTTCCGCACTGGATCATAATATTCTTTCTTGCCCGAGACGCCACTGTTCGTCTGACTCTGCGGTTGTGGTTGTCTCTGTGGCGACTTTGAGCGACCTAGACATTCTGTTAATATTCGTTTGTTTTTCTGGTTTGCTTGTGTACAGGATAAAATGTATATAATTTGACTCCGCACATAAACATGGACTGTATGTATACTTCCAACCTTTTTCTGGTTTTTGGGTATTTTATTCCCCCCCCTCTCTTCCTCGAGTATCCATCCCTCGAAACACAATCAAAGGGTGTAATAAGGAAAGGGAAAGGGAAAGAGACCTAAAAAGCAAACTTACCCCTTTCCTCCCCGCGCCTGCGATTGCGATTATTCCGCACATCCCGGGACCGGAAAACGCTGTACAGCAACCATCCCGCCACCCAGTTGGGTCCGTACTCGCCGCCGCTGCCGCCGGTCGTGTCTCCCCCTCCTGGCCCTGTGGCAGCAGCACCCACCCCGGTGGTGTTGTTGGTCGAGGTAACGACCGCCCCGCGAGCGAACAGCGGGCGGGTGAGAGGCCCCGCGTTCCGGGCGATCTCGAGGATCCCCCACCGTTGTCGCTCGGGGCGGATGTGGTGCCAGAAGTAAGGTGGTTTGGTGGCGGGGTCGGCGGCGATGCTGTCCAGGAGGTTGGAGCGGTCTTCGTTGAGGTGGTTGTAGGTTAGGATTGCTTCGTCCTGGTTTTGGAGGGGGGGTGATGTTAGTTTTTGGGGGTTGGGATTTGGGGGGGTCTTGCAATTGGGGTTGATTTGGGGATGAGGATTACGTGTAGGGCAGAGCTAGATAAGCTGGATGGGGACATCGTGTATAGGCAGTAGGTGTGTGTGTGTGTGTGTGTATGTGTGGGATCCAAGAAAGTTGTGCTCGAGGCCTTGTCGTATCATCACCATGGAAATTACACGAGTATAGAAAGAAAGCGTGAACGAGGGCAATCGGGGTACGAAGATACAGGGAGACAGACATGCTTGAACGGGAGTATACACAGTCGATTATTCAATACACAAAGAAAAGGTACTCAACCCACCCTCATTGCACGATAATACTGCTCATGCTGCGGATCATGCGAGTTCAAGCCTAGGGCTTGCATAAACTCTTCCTTGGAGGCTCGAGGGCCCACAGCCATGTTTTCTTACTTCGTGCGAACTGGTTGGGCGAGCACAAGAGAAATAACGTAAAAAGTATTGTGTCTGATCTTGCTCTGTGCAAATTTGATGAATGATTGGGCAGGATTGCTGGGTTAACTCGAGTGCCAGTGTAGGTTCTTGAACAGGAAGGAAAGGGAAACGATAGCAATCAAAAGAAGAACAAGATTGAGAGGTGAATGACCTTCTTTGCCATGGAATGCCCAGAGTCTGAATGACAATAGAAGAAAAACAAAAAGTTGATGCGCAGTCGGTTGTTCGAGGGGTCACTGGTTGATGATACCTAGATATATAGACATTTCGATCAGTCCGTGATCCTACCCCATCACACCCCCCTGGTCTCCTGGTTGGAATTCAATCTCGGGGAGAACGACTGAAGAAAACACAGAAAAGCGTGGCGAACGCCTGATTAACAGGGGTTTCGTCTCTAATGAAATAGGCCAGTCGAGTACAAGAATAGTGGATGGGGGAGGAGGGTGGTTGTAGAGAATCAAACAGATGGCCCTTGTCATTGGAGACCAATCTTTAGAGGGTGGGTGTTTTCTCCGAATTGAAATATGAACAATGGGATATAACGGAATGGATCTGAAAACTGAGAATGAGATGGATGGTAATTCAGTGGATTAGTTGTACGACGAGGTTGAATGGATCTGAACGAGGATTGTCAGTTACGGTCAGCTAAGGGTCAAGACGGACAGATTCGGGGCGGATTGCCGCAATCTTACCAAAAGGGGAGGATTTATCAGATGCCATAGGATCTGCCCTCTGGTTGTGTATCATCTTGTCCTTGACTTATGATCTAACTCGCACCAAGCAAGATAGATAAGATGCATAGGTTGACGAGGAAGTAGGGATAGAAGAATGAATCGTTGAAAGACATCCCCATGGATCTGTTGCAGCTGCACCGTTTCTCGTCCTCAGTTCAAGGTAGAATTTCGAGCATCACAACCCCTCTTCCGCATCTCAACTCGAACAATAAAACACCAGAGAGTGAGAGAACCGTTTGATTCCCAGCAACCCCGGGTCGGAATCATCCGTCATCCGTCCCACTCTGTAGACAAGGGGAAATGGTGGGGAGTGTATGTATCTATCCGATCATCAGGAGATATGTCTGGAGACAAGGGGCGACTTTGCATTGGATCAATCGACTAAAATGCGGAGATTGATTGTCAGGCCATTTCTTGACAACTTTTCAGGGACAAGGGAGGGAGGCCACAACAATGTGATGAGATAATGTAGGGGAATAAGTATTGAACTCACAGCGATGCAGTGAGTACTGTACCTCGAGAGCGAGTCACGCGATCCGTACCAAGACCATACTTGCATGCTCGACTGACCTGGTGAAGCTGCTAGGTTCAGGTTTGGCATGTAACATACCCTCTTGTCTTGAGGTGCATAGAGAGAGAGCATACGTTCATCTCTTAGGAGGTCTGGATTCCATCCATTCAATCCGGTATGTTGGTCATGGTAGGTTGGTAGTCCACCGAGACATTATGGGAAGTCTCAAAGATGAGACTGGCAGAATTCAGCTTTCGTATTTCGTCCGGACAAAGGATATCAAAGAAAGGCAGAAGGGAAGTGCGAACAGTCAATCCATACAAGCCCCCCACCCCAGTCTAACCGTCGGTTGTGTAACCAGACCGTGCTTCATCAGGTTAGGGACGATCCATTTGTGGCTGTCAATTCCAGGGGACAGAGATGGTGGGAACAAAAGACACAGCTAGTAGGATGTCTTCCGCCAGGAGGATGGATCAGGGAGTCGCTTCGTCTGACTGATGGACAGATCGGAAGGCAGGTGGGTGGATGATCCATCATCGACAACCAGGAAGACAAAACCGGAGAATACAAACACTCCGGTCTGGTTTGCAAGGTCCGTTGTGATTTGTCTAGAACCCACCCTATCTTGACTGCGGGCAATTGAATTAATCAATCAGGAGGTGCAACAGGGAAGAGAAGGTGGGGAGGGAGAATATGCTTAGAAGCAGAAGGAAATATAATAGGATACAGTACTGTAGCTGGAAGGGGTAGGAGGTTTCCACCACACACAAATCAGCCTCGCTCTGTTCGTTGGCAGTTCTTCCCTTCCCCCTCAAATACCCATAACCATGACCATAACCATGACCAGGCTAAGACATTCGTTCGCAGACAAACATAAAGACAGACGAACCGACTCTCGAGATCTCCTGCATGCACAACGCTCGATCTACCCTCGCAACATCCCAGCACCACATCCTCGCTGCCGAGTCGCCGTTCCTTTCCTCCCAGATGGTTGCGCAATCTGGACTTTCGTGTAAAGGTCATAAGTGAGGCGATGGGTTGTACATCCAGACGGAGAAATGGGTTCGACCAAGACCACATCTACCCACGCACAACCGTAGAAGCACTCCACTATATACACAAATACACATCACGCATACATACCTTTCCATCCCGGCTCGCATCCTCTCTTCCTCTTAAGCCGCACGGTCCTTCCTTTCCCTTCGTCCTCTTCTCAACCCTTCACCCTTTCGCGCGAGAACGAGTCAACTACCACTAGACTGGCGGGATAAGGGTAGAATGAGAAGAGGAAAAGCAAAATCATCTACCCTGAGTTTGTCTGTTTGTCTGTCTCATCCTAAGGTCCCTTGGCTTGGAGGAATCACAGGTTCATATACAAGGTGGGTCTAAAGAAACAACCGGCTAGAGTTCACAACGCGAACAAGACGGAAGAACGGATAAGGGGGGAAAGGGATTTGGGTATTAGATGAAAAATTGAAAAGTGCGATCAACCCTCGTGAAGGTTCGTGGTGACGATGACGACGATCATGATCATGACATGCAAGAGACAAAAATACAAACGGATGCTGTAGTTCCCTTCCCCTTCTCCTCGCTTGTTGTGCAGCCTTGATGGAAAAGACTACCTATCTTTTATTGTGGTGGAGGATTGGTGATTGGCTCTCGTGGTCACCTCTCCGCTCGGGCGGTATCGATTTGCATTTGGGTCTTCTTGTACGGAGTGTGTGGCCTCACTCCCTCACGCAGCATTATTCAGTTCAACCCAGTAACCCAGCCTGCTTGCTTCATCTTCTCTCTACCTTGCCCCTTTGGCCATTTAGATTTCACGAAGAATTCGCCTTAATCGTGGTTTAGGGGCTTTCGCCATAGTATCTGCGCAAGAAATCCTCGACCTCCTTGTAATCCTTCTTGACTTGGGTCAGGGTTTTGCGGATGTTCTCAAGCGAAACCTCCTGGTCGGGCTCATCGTTGGTGCCAGTCTCATCCTTGCCGGCACCGTAGTGCTGGATCTTCTCACATGCGTCCTTGACCTTAATCAGTCCCAAAGTGGCGGAGGAACCTTTCAGGTAGTGACCCAGAGACGAAAGCTCGCCCAAGTCCTTGTCCGCGCTGTTGATATCGAGGGTCAGTACCGACTTCGAAGAATGAAGACCATGACTTACAGGTGCTTCTCCATCTTATCGAACGTGCTCTCTGCCTGATCGAAGAATCCAAACACGATGCCTTTGCTGAAGTCATTATCGCCTTCATCATCCATTTCAAGAATCTGCTCGAATGTGTTTTGGTCGATGGTCTCAGTCATTTCTGCCAGCGTGGTTGGGGGGTTGGCGGCGGCGGTCCTGGTGGCGCTCGTGGTGGCAGGAGCAGCAGAGGCACCGCTGCTGCTGCTAATGGGGGTATCGGCAGGAGGAGCAGCAGCGGCAGCGGCGGTGGCGGCAGTAGCGGTGGTGGTCGTGGTGTTGTTGGGGGTGTCGTTGGTAGCAGCGGTGCTGTTGGTGCTGCTGATCTTCTCCTTGGGCTAGTGCGCACAGTTAGCATTTAAAAACGGCATTTCTGGACACGGGGCTCGCGGGTACGTACAGACTCCTCCATGGTCTTAGTGGTGGTGCTGGGCGCCATGGTGGAAATGGATGGTGATGAGATGAAGCTTGTCACTCGGTTGGCTGGATCGAGGTGTGGAAAGTGACTCGTGTTGGCGGGGGAGGGGAAGTCCAAACGCCCTCTCGCGATCACCCAAACTGGATGGATGGCTCTTGCGCGCTTGTCTTTTGTTTTGACGCGGTGGGTCGGTCTATTCCGGATATTCGCCGAGCCCAAAACGGAAGCCTGCGAACACTGCGGGTATACTTGGGATTGAAGGGAGGAAAATTACACGGCACGAATCTGTAGAGGATTCACTGGTCAGTCTTGGCCTTCTTGGTTCGCATAGCAAGTTTACAGCGACAACGGTAGCAGTAGGAACAGCAGCAACAGCAGCAACAGCAACGGCAGTGCGACAGGATCCTGGTGAGATGGCCCTACGCAATGAGGGTGTTACGACAGGTCATCAAAGAAAGCAACCTAACATCACACACAGAAATCAAGTAATAGAGCAGATTGTTAAAACAGCAGTGCACATAAGATGGAAGAGGGTGAGTTCGTCAATTCAAGAATGACTGTAAAGTGTATGTGTAGTGGAATGCAAAATTGAACCCCAGGAGACAAGGATGTGAATAACCAAGGGAAGCTCAACAGAGGGGGAAGGGGGCGAGGGCAAGAGAGGAACAGACAAGGAATCTAATTAATTTGTAGTTTGTGAAGGTTACTTCAGATATGCTCTTGCCACCTGGGGTAAGGTATCGACAGAAACCGGTGAGGCTGGGATCCCAAGGTGAAGTGGCGTGCGAAAGATGAATGAAAGGGAAAGGGATGGGATATGGTGTGGTGCAGATTGCAGATATCAATCAACCACAGAACATACACTAAATGGGGCACATATGAAAATCACCTAGTGAGAACAGCTGTCTGGATCAGGAGGAGACGGAGTCACGCAAGGTGGCCAGTGGATAAGGTAATGAAAAAGAATAGAGGGGGAGGGGTAGTGGTTGTGTAAAGGTAGAAGAGAAGACAGCCAAATGTCAAAAGCGGAAGCAAGCACAAGCAACTGGAAAAGAACAAGAACAAGAACAAGAACAAACGCGTTCCTAGTGAAGCACGAAGAGGGGACTTTTCCCACCTTGGACCTGATTTCCTTTCCACAATTCAGCTGTTTGAGTATCGAATAGTCTCAAGCAACCCTGAACACCTCTGACGGAAAATAACCAAATTAAAATAGATTAAGAGAGATGGGGAAGAGATGATGACGATAAGGCAAAAAAGGCGATGGGACAAGAAGGTTCCCGATTTGGACAAGTGACTTGGATGGAAGTATTAGCGAAGAGGGGAGGAGGGGGAAAAGAGAGAGAGAGAGAGAGAGAGGAGAAAGCGAGATACGCAGAAGGGGGATGGCGATTGAAGTTCTCTTTTTCTCCCCTTCGCTTTTGTTCATTGGGGGGTTTTTTTGTTTTCTGGATTTCCTTTTTTTTCTCTCTCCTCTTTTTTTTTCCCTCTCTTTTACAGTTTGGTTAGGCGCGCCGTCAAAGAGGAACCAGAAAGTGGAGGGGCACAGAGAGAGAAAGGAGGGGAGCAGGTGGGCTGGGTTGGCGGACAAGCCGATAAACAGATCAAATAAAAATAATGAAGAATGATACAGTATGGTACCTACAGGAAGTAAGACACTTTCTTTTCCTTCCTTCTCTTTTTCGTCTCTTTGGTTTCGTTTCTTCTAGTCAGCTAATTGGTGGTCAGGTTTGATCTAAGATTTTGAGAAGTGCAGAATTAGTCCCGATGATGAACACGATTTGCGGTTAACAGTCAAATCTTAATCGCAAAATGCTCCCGGGAAATAACAGAATAGAGAAAGACACAGAGCATTCGGTGCCTTTAATTCCAAGTGAATGAATTACTTACGGGTAAGTTCCTTGTTCTGGATACAGTTGAGCTGCCCTCATGGGACGAACCGAAGGGGGGGAGAGGGGGGGGGGGGTTCAGTGAGAGGGAAAAAACCGAATATCGGAAGAGGAAAAGATGGGGACAACTAAAATGGAACAAGTGACAGGATGGAGGTTGATGCGAAGCGGTCAACTTATTGGACACCGGCAGGGTGGGCTGCAGCAAGCATCATACAGCAGACCACATCAGAAATGGAATTTCGATGATATTCACTCCAATCAGAGAGGAGCCGCTGACAGTTCAGTGGCACTTGTTAATAATGAGGTGCACAGAATTGAACCATTCAATCTATTTGTGATTGAAAGTGATAGTACTGAGTACTCAGTGAACTATCAAAGAAAATGAGAAAGTTTACAAACCGTCGGGGAGGTGGGATAGACGGTGGGGGAAGAATCGAAGAACGATTTATTATTGCAGAGACAACGACGATCAGTGCTGGGTGGAAGAAGAATAGAGAGCGGGACCCAAGCATATAAAACAGCCGATGACGGGTTCCTCTGGCGTCATCCCGAAACTCGCGCCTGCTTGCGGAGGGCTGCTGACTGATATCCCAGTCAATTTCAATGTCTATTTCCATTGACGTTGACCGTATATGTTGCTGCTTGTCACCTCATCCATTAACTGCACAGTCTGACTCGATCACCTACATACCTTGTCAGAGTGCAGGGTAACATCAATGCTCAGATACATGGGAGCCAGCCTGAAGAAAGAATCAATCCAGAAGGCAGTGAAGGGAGGAGGGGGGAAAAGCCTCCAAAAATCTTTAGGTCAAACATTCCACAAATACTCAGGCCAGCGATTGGCAGGGAGGTGATGTGGGGAGAAGAGCCCAGAAAAAAAAAAAGGCGTCAAAAAAGGGAAGGACAAACAGCCGGGACCATCCAGCCCATTCAATCATAACCCCAACCAAGAATGCACGATTCCATCATCGTCACCTTCCAGAGTCTGCGCCCATAAACCCAGTCAAATGCCTTTCTTCCGAAATTCAGGGTGAAGAGAAGAGAAACGAGAAGACAGATATGACAGTCATCAACGGGGCTAGACTGCCTCACCAGTATATCGGCAAGACTTGCAAGTCTGAGAGCCTGGGAACAAACCTCCGTTGTCTCACTCTTGCTGGCCTATCTTCATACATTTGTTCCCTGACTTCCTCGACCAGAGTCGAACGACGGCCGGTTCGCATTCCCCACCCGAAGGGTGATGCACGCTGAAATCATAGGGCCACAACTGACGTAGGGGGTGTGTCCGTCTTCGAGACTCCTTCTCTTCGGGTATTGGCATCAATCTCCACCACTAATACTGTACAATACACCACCCTATGCCTGACACCCTCAACCGACTTCATCAGCAAGACAATAGGACTTTGGGGGCACGTGGAACCAGGAGCATCAACCTTGGTACAAACCTGTATACCTATGTAGTAGGAATAGAGCTCTGCCTTGAAATCAAGAAAGGAGCGACATAGGTACATCCCGGATGGAAAACGCTCGGGAACAGCAGCGGTCCATGCATCTCTAGGCCCCATCCTGTTGACGATGATGCTTGCGACGTTCCGCGTCAACGACGGATTGTCCGACTACCAGCCACCACCACCACCACCACCACCGATTCTGGACCCTGTTCAGGTTTGAACTCGCCACGACGTTGCCCGAAGTAGGGGGGAGGGTTCTGGGCCCTTCAGGCTTTCAGGGGTCGGCTGGTGTTGGTTGGACTAGTACCAATGGTGCAAACACCAAGGAAGTTCATGCTCATCAGCGGACACGAAACGAGGAAATCCTTCCCTTGACTCAAATTCCATGATTCCGTCCGTCCGTTGGCTGCGGGGAGGAGGAACAGTCACAGGCAAAATCACGACCATAGAACATGGGAGATATCGGTATCAGAGCGGCCGTTATTGGAGCTCCATGGCGTACAGGGTCGTTGCCCTTCTCATCTGCGAAAATCGAGAAGAACAAGATCAATTGACGGGTATCCATCTTAGTGAGTCTGTCTATATATCTACAGCTGCGAGAAATAGTGGAGGGCAAGTCGTCATTGAACATGTCGTTGCCCTGGCTGTTTTCCTTTTCCCTTTTTACTCAGTTTCCTCTTTTTTTTTTTTTTTTTTGGTAGGAAAGATGAAGAGATCCAAGAAACAACCAGGACGCATGAACGCCGATGAAAAGCCCTCTGGGGCCTGGCAGGCAGAATAGACCAATGGTGTAGAGCAGCTGGTTCCGAGTGACATCATAGCGGGGAAAGCATACTGCCAATCATGACCGCCGCTGACGTTAGCGGGGTTTTGCCAAGACAGCCAAAGCTTGGGCCGTCTCCCACTCATTTCTTTCTCCGGCTCAGCCTCCGAGCCAAAATGACTTTTGCTTCTTCGATTTCGAAATTAGATTTATTAGTCTTCAAGAGGGTGATTGCTGAGGGGATCAATTTGTGCACTTACAGTCACAGGTTTACAGTAATAGAGATTCGGAGAAGGAGTCCTAGTTTAATCTGCCCTGACTCAAATCATGTGCCCTAGGCGAGTTTATCTTGTGGTTGCTTGAGTCAGCGCCACCGACAGCAACCGTAGGGCCTAAATTTACCGGAGACTCGGAGCCAAACCCTCCACTTGCAATACATGTACATGCTTCGAGTACAAGTGGCTTTTCTTCGCTCCGGCCGATTCTCGCTGTCAATTCCTCCGGCAACGGTTGATCGCAGAGCTCGATTAGGCAATTCTTAGGCTTGCCTGCGCCAGTTGCCCGTCATCTAATTCACACAAGATCCTCGCACCATGCA